AAGCAGATATTTGTTTGGTATGATCCGGTTTTAAATTTAATGTTTTTCCACCAGATTACATAAAGGTGCATACACATACCACATAGCTAATAATAAATATACAAGATACAGCTCATGACAACGTGCCCTTCCAATTCAGATTACATAGGTCTAATAAACATCATACAGAAACTGTAAGTGACCGTATTGTCGTCTTTTCGCGTGAAATATAACCAAACTTTAGAGCGGTTCTGCCTCGACGCCATGTTCGCCGCGTTCTGAACCAAAAAAACGCAGCGCGTGTGTGACATCATGACGCATTTGTAACTAGTGGAACCTGATAAGCGGAATCGTTAAACAGGCACGCTAACGGTTCCAAGGAATTGATTCACTGGGCACTGGTTCTGAAGAAGAACCGGTTCTCGATTCCCATCCCTAATTCCAACAAAACAACAAAGATGACCGCCTTAATAACACAAATCAAATTTCCACATAGATCAGATGAATACAGTAAAGCATGTGAAAATACAAATAGCAGTAGGCACTACAAATAGATGCAGAAAGCATAAAATGAGGTAGTGCTGATCTGATCTAAAGTACAAAAATACAAAATATGGTATGTGTTTGTGGACCAGGCCGCAGTTGTGTCTGAATAGTATAGCGAGTTTTAGAGTTTGTTCCAGACAATTTATGCAGTCCAGAGTTAAACTTCCCAACAAAAAGTACTGTGGAGTAAGACAAGACTAATTATGTGACCAAAAAGCGCAGATGAATTACAATTTTAATCGTAATCGGCAGGAGCTTCCAAACTCACGTCCTACTCCATTAAAGCTCAGCAACGCTCCCCATGATCACATATTCTAAGGAATAAATCCACAGTGAATCACAGGGTAGAAAGATGCTGCTTTCTGTGGGTAGAAACTTTGAGTTCATTTTTCATTTCCTTCCATACCTGAGTAACTGCTGTGACAGCTGTCAAAAGAAAAATAGCTGCTGTTACATTTAGATAACAGATTTAAAGGAATACAAGTTTTTGAGAGATTGTCCTTTTGGTCAACTTGGTGACCAAAGTACTGAGAGCATAGCTACTGCATGTAAAGCCTACGCTTAAGCTTAGGCAAGCGACCTACTTTGTTGTGAGCATTTATACTTGTACGCTGGTTTGTCTGCATTGCTCTACAAATAACACCGTCAGAACACTAGTTACCAGTGTCCATTGCCGCTGTTTTTTTTCCTGTACTTCAAATTATGGCAATGGTTTATGTTAACATTTAAGTTTCCATTTGACTAACTGATTGACGACTGATGTTCTTCTTTCCCCTCAGGATCCGGTCCATGCCCATGCACCCAGCTCAGAGCCAACAGTATGTTATAAAGCCCAAATTCTACCACACACACACCACACACACACAGACACATGTCCAGTCTAAACCTGAGAGGCCGATCCCCCTGACAATGGGACACAACCCCATCCATGGTAAGTAAGTCTACCTACAGATCACCTTTTTACTTTCACTTGGGTATGTTAATGATGTTTATTAAGAGTGACAATTTCAAGTGTAAAATAGTGCTTTGGAAAGAGTTTTGAATGCATGTCCTGCCTTCTAGATTGTCATTGGTTTCCATTAATGTCACTATGGTAAGAAAATAATTTATCAGAAACCTGATGCTACTTGAAGTCCATCACATTAGACCTTATATTATTGCCAAAAGGTATTAGGTTTACTATTAAGTTCAATCCACTCTTAAAAATAAGATAAAAATAAAAAGCAGACAAAAGCAGAGATGGTGTTCACTGTCACGACTTACCTGACTCAAGACAAGTTTCTGGTCTCAGAAAGTAGATTTTAATTTTTTTATATTTACATACTGTGTATATATATATATTTGTTATATATACAGAATTCATTTGAAACCGGTGGATGTGTGCAAGATGGAAAAACACATACATACTTTGAAAAGTGGTGAGCAGTAATTTTAATTATACATAACTTATAGTCAATAGGTTACCACATATTAAAACACTGGTAGGTTTCTTTAAGAAGTAGATTTAGGAAAAGCAGGTTTGATGATAATTTTTACAGAGTGAGAGTGCTGAAGGGTGAGTATTGAATGAAACTCTCCAACACCACAGTGGAATTATTTGTTACATGTTTGGTATTTCTGTGGTTCAGATGGGATTGACTCCATTATATCAGAACTGGACAACTGTGCCAAGCCCATGTCTGTCTTTTAGGACAGATTGCAGAATGGTATTCAGCAGGTGGAACATCAAGCTCAGAACATCCAACTATCCAATATTACATGTAAATGCCCAAGAATAATGCTCCTGATAACAAATTGGCTGTATGTGACAGATATTCTTTCCCAGCCACTCCATGCAATATCAGTAGTACTGTATGAAGATGGTCAAACGCTCACATATAACTAAATTCTTTACACATCAAAATGTTTTTCAGGAGTACTACTGCATATGTAAAAAAAGTTGTACAATGTCTTTTGTTGCTCCAAAGGGAGCTGAGTGAAAGTCTGATAGCCCCAGCCAATGCTACATCATAGCTCCTCTAATGCTGTCAGTATATGGAATGATTGTTGAGCTTGCAGTAACAGGATTTGTTCAAATTGCAGCTTGAGCGGTAATGACATAAAGGCTTAAGCATTGCCTGCTGCTTGGGGCTGTCGAAAATTAATTATAAGTCTTATTTTAAGAGGGCAATTTCAGAGAAAGGCAGGGAGTGTGAGACTTAGGATGGAAGAAATGGAGGAAAATATAACACTTTCCCTACATTTTCTGAAACAACAAGTGCCTGGATGGATATGAAGGGGGGATGCTGTCTATAGTGGAGCCTCTGAATACCTGTTATCTAACCCCCATTTAAGTCCCTCTGCTACTCAACAACCTCACCACAGAAGACACGTTATCTCTTTTACAGTTTAAAGTGTGGAAAGGTGGAAAAGGAAAAGGGGAACTGCGGTGTCAAGATATTTTAAGGTGTATATTGAGTTTGCAAGTGGTTCAAAGCTGCTGTGCAGAGCTCCCAGTTCAGAAGAGTCAGGGGACCGCTAGCTACATGGCTAATTGCCTCATGTGCATTCTCTTGTGGATGTCTGCCATTATGTCTGCAGCCAGGTCACTCTCAGTCACAGTCTTTCTGTGGAAAATAGTGTGTTGAAGCTCCAGTGTGAGTAGCTCAGTAAATATCATCACAGCAGCTGATATTATTGTAAATACTTTGTAATTAGTGTTGCTGTAGGGTATTTTTGGCCAAAAAGTATATTAAATTCATGAATTTCCTCTTTAAAACATTTTTAATTGAGTTAATTATGAACATAACCATGAACCCACAAGTATAAAGAAGGGAATGTGTACAATTATCTGTAAATATGTACTGAGATTTGTGAATGTGTACATGAATGTGCAAATGTGTGTTTAGAATTCGTGTGTGCGTAATCAGATTTGTAAATGTAAAAGATCTACAAATCTGTATTCAGATTTGTAAGTGTAAGGATATTTGCACACGTGTGGACAACTCTGTAAATGTGTGGACAAATCTGTAAGTGCAGACATAAATATTAATGGTTGAAAAATCTAAGTATTTGCTCAAAGAGCTGGAAATACAGACAAATCATAGGTTACAACTCAGGCGGGACTCTATTGGCTGTCTCTTTACATGTGACTTTTGCTACACTTCAACCATGGCAGGTCTGCAAATGCATGTTGACATCTGTGTGTGTGTGGAGAGATTTGTCTGTGTGCCTCAGCAGCCATGCCCACTTCTGTCTGACTAAAGCCCTGAGGTCATAAGTAACGTACAGTAGTTTAGAAAATGAACATGTACTGGGACCAAACAGACTCCGGACGGATGGAGGCAGTTTAACGGTAGGGAGTACAGTATCGATGGTTTATAGCAGCTCTGGGGATGACTGAGACTCTGGGGGTTCAGGCGGGGGGGACAGGAGAGACGTGAAGCTGAGAGAAGTGAGAGGGAGGCGCCCACTTCCGAAAGGCCTGAGTGGGGCTTACGGTGGGGTCAGCCCCGCCAGGAGCCAAACCCGGCAAGAAAACCACATCGGCTTCCCTGTCATGAGACTGGTCTCCATCGGTCCCTGGTCAGCTGTATTCACGCTAAGCTCAGCTATCTCCAGTTCCCAGCTACAGTTAACTAGCTAGCTGCATACTTTAGAAACAATTAAGCTAATGTTATCCGTCCACCAGTAAACAAATCACAGATAGATGAGGCAGAAAGCAGCCAGAGGACATCAGAGGGAAAACCAGATAATAATTTCTCCATGAAATATTATCCATTTTCACAAAATCAGTGAATAAAGTTCAAAGTTGTGTGTTTGTACCATTGACAGTAACTTATATATAAGGTTTGGACAGTAATCAGTGAGGCCTGGTTGCCAGAAACAGTCATTTTTGAGCTAGCATTTTCCAACGTAATTCTTGACTCATTTGTGGTTTGATAAACAGTAAATTAAGTAATTTAAGTGCCCTGTATTGCTATTTTCCTGTAGAAAACTAGGTTAAACAAGGAAGGGAGCGCAGCAATGTCTCTCTACCACCGACTGGTGGTCTGTAGACTGTACAGCTGCTGAGGCACACAGACAAATCTCACCTCACACACAGCTCTCCAGATGCATTTACGATCTGCCACAGCAGAAGTGTAGCAAAAATCCTGTGTAAAAAGAAATTGACTTAAGCCAAAATTGTAACTGATGATTTGTCTGTATTTCCAGCTCTTTGAGCAGATACTTAGACTTTTGCATAAGTCTGCACTTACAGATTTGTCTACACATTTACAGATTTGTCTACACTTTAACAGATTTGTCTACACGTGTACAAATATCACTTACAAATCTGAATACAGATTTGTAGATTTAATAAATATCACTTACAAATCTGAATACAGATTTGTAGATTTTTTACACATTTACAAATCTGATTACGCACACATGGATTCTTAACACACATTTGCAGATTTCTGTACATATTCACAAGCCTCAGTTCATATTTACAGATTATTTTACACATTCACAGATCTGATTATGCGCACACAGATTGAGATACAGCTACACAACTCTCCACACACATTTGTATATAGTTTTGCTACAATAATAGCTCCATAAGCATCAAAACATTTTAAACATTTAGAATTGAAACTGGTAATTGATAAGAACCAGAATTGATAAACCGAATCGGAATTGATCAAATTCAAACGATACCCAACCCTAGGCCAAACTAAAAAATATGTTTCAACAACCGTCAGTTTGGGCCTTCCCTTCACTGTGTACCACTTACAGCAGATTTTTATATCTACAAATAACACTCAAGGCCTCTCAGTCTAAATTAATGGAAATACCACTGCTGGTTTTTACTCCACATGCAGTCAGTGCTACACTCTGTTGTTGCTCTTCTAAAACAAGACCCTCAGCCTTTCTGTCAGCCTTGTCACACACGACAGACAGCCTGTCAGCAACTGGCTTTGGTGCCACATCTGGAAAGTTATTTCCCATCTCTGCTCAGCTCTCCCACACTGCCAAAAACACCCTCAGACAAATGTTAGTAGTCTTGGCCCTGACTGAAGGTTTGTTCAGAGAGGATCACCTCGCCATCACTGCAATGACCAAATAAGAATGCTATGGTGGTGTGCAATGAGAGACTGTATTTCTTTACCTAATTCTAAGGTGTATGGAGAAGGGAAGTAGTCCAGCAACACTAGTATGAAGTACCACTTCATCTTAGGACAAGCTCGTTTTGGCCTTCATTAGGGTCACCCAGTTGTCAGAAAACACCAGTATAAATTGTTATTAGTTGATAGGTCCTCATTCATTCTCCCTGGAAATATAAACTTGTCAGGTAAAACATCCAAAAAGTGTCTCTCTTTAGTTCTGAGAAAATTTACATTGCCACCTCTTTTGGCTGGGTGTAATCACTTCATGCCAATGACCTTGATGTATAAATGTGGTGGTAATAAAATGATACACAAATGTAGCTAGAGGATTGACCTCTCATGATGGTGTGCAATGACAGGAAGGCATGCCACACTTTTTTGGAAGAGTACTCCACAGATTTAGCATTGCACTCGTATAACATTGTCAGACTCATAATGGAAAACATTATTCAAACGAATGCATCACAACCAGAGTAAGGATGCACAATATAGAGTTTTTTCAACAGGTACAATATCCAAAGATTAGCTGCTTCTCATGGCCGATACTAATAAGCTAACTGATCATTTCCCATTTTGGGTTTTTTTAAAAAGAAGTTCACAACCTGTAGTTTCACTCACTTGGTATGAAAGGTGAGATGTAGTAAGCAGAGATGGATGCTTTAGTATTCCATAGCTCTGACCAAACCAAATCTAAGACATCACTATTGTTAACACAACAACAAACAAAAGTTCATCAAAAACTTGACAAATATATAGCTTTCATAGAACATGAAGGCTTTCAATTGTTTGGCATAAGAATTAAAAAATTATGATGAATGAGCCCCCACAGTCTGCGTGTGTCAGGGTGTGCTGCGACCGTGTCATGTGCTACCGTGTCAGACATACACCCCAGCATGCAAATTTCATGGAAATCATATCATTATTGCCATATAAGACTTACTTCCTGTTCTGTAATTATGATTGAATATTGTTATGTGTGTATGTGACCTCAAGCATAGATGAGGTTTGGTAATTAAGTGATAGCACTTGAGGACATTTATCAGACTTCTCACAGAATGCTTAATACAACCTTTTTCACATATGTTGAAGTACTCTCCAACACAGAAAACGTCAAGATTTACATTCTTGATAGTCACTCCTACTTCCTACAGAATACACACTTGTCCTGTCAAAAGGCTGAACTGTACTTGATTGTATATAACATTTCCCACAAAATCAAGCCAGCAAGGGAATATGAACAGAGAGCAATAAACAACATACATTCTCTGCAAGTAGTGAATGGCCATCAGATGCAAAACCACCCAAATTACCCTTAAAATCCGTAAACCATGTGCTGCCCAATAGAAGCATCAGAAAGAAATTACCCCTTGCAGATCCAGCGCCAGGTTTCCCATGGATGCCAAAGTTGAGATTACTTTTTTTCCCTGAAAGATCATAAGGGGTGTAATGAGAAACATGCTGGGATTTCAGCATTTAATAATAATCCTGACATGACAAAAACCAATTCAGTGCATAATAATTGACCTACAGTTTGATATGGAGCCATAATGCTAACCTGACACAAATACATTTCTGTTTACAATTTGGCATATAAGACAATTCTTTAACTCTTTATCAAGGTCTTGAATAGAGTGGGGGCAATGTTTTTGAACTAAATAAAAAATAGTCTCTTGCCACTCATCTATGAATTTCAATTCAATTCAATTCAATTTTATTTGTATAGCGCCAATTCATAACAGCAGTTATCTCAGGACACTTTTCAATTGGAGCAAACTAGACCAAACTCCTTATAGCATTATTTACAGAGACCCAACAGTTCCCACCATGGGCAAGTACTTGGCGATGGCGGCAAGGAAAAACTTCCTTTTAAAAGGCAGAAACCTAGGACAGACCCCTTGGCTCTTCTTCTTCTTTTTAAATGCCAGCTGGATGGTGGGCTTTATTTTGATGAAGCATGCCTCGCTCACTACAATTAATCCCAATAATGCTGATTGTGCATCACCAGTGACAGCAAGTGGCATAGTCTCCATATATGGTAAATGTGAAAGTGCTGTCTCAAGGTGAAACTTTTAAAGGACAAGGGAGGCAGAATGCAGCGTCTGCTTGAATTGAATATTACGGCCCTGTAACACTGTAAGATTGTGAAAGATTTTTTCCCCCAGAAACAGCCAAGTAGGGATCTTTGCTTAAATCCTGGTGGCATGAGTGGTGTAGTTTGGAGCTTGAAGTAATTACTACTTCAAATAAAAACTAATGATGTAAAGAGGTGCACAGAGGTCATCCAGGGCAGGCCTGGCACCTTAATGCACACCCATAGCGCCAGGTTTCTCCAGCCTCTCTGCTGCCTGGATGATTCTCACTCATATTTTCATCCTTCAAGGTGATTGATGTCTGTGTTGTGTCTGAGATGCTTTCCTGACTCCCTTTCCATATTCATTTTAAAGCTTCCATGCATGTGGTTAGCCAGCAACCTTAAGTCCAAACTTGGGCAGCATGGCTTCTATCCAGCTCTCTTCTCATTGAGCAACGGGCCCGCTGTTGATGGGCTGATCCGGTTTTCTGATTATTGCAGGCCATTTCTGTGGTAGCCTGGGTAATACTTGTTTCAAATAAAGCAATAAAGCCGTAAACAGATTGAATAAAAACAGAGAGGTTTGAAGGAGCTAGCTTTTCCCGGCCGCAGCATATTCTGAATCTTACAATCAGACACAAGATGTTTTCAGCAACAAAGCTGAAAACAATGTAGCAAGTTTTGAAGGAGCTAGTGGTTGATGCATCTGCATGCGCAGCCGTTGTCATGACACTTCCCATCCGCAACTAATCATAATGTTCATTTTTATGATTGGTCTGCAGATTAATGTTGCATGATTTCATCCAACACAACTTTGATGCATGTGCATATTGGTGGTCTTGGTCAGAGTTAGTCCTTTGACAGTTTATTGTGACAAGCCTATTTTCTAGTGTTTGATCTGATTAAAACTTGTTAGTCGGGGTTAACCTCATTAAAGACCTGTTAGTTAAGACCAAATGATCAGAGACTTTGACACAATATCTTAAAACTGGAAGTTGTTAAAGCCACAGTCTGTAAGGTTTTGAGTGCGGAAAATAAAACTATTATATATTACCATATATAATTGAAGAGTTTATAAATTGGCTATTAGTGTTTGTCTGTTAACTGTAATTGGAAATGTAAGCCAGTTTTACTAGTGTTTACAAAAATTTATGATAAACTGAATAAAACGTATCAGTCAACATTAACAACTTCAGTTTAGTTGATTTCTAAGGGGCCGATCACACAGATGCAATGCTACAGGCTGCCACTTTAAAAAGAGCATTGGGGAAAAAACAGCTGGTGGAGCGAGGCAGCATGAACAACCAGGCGATCAAATATGATTAACAGAAAAAAATTTAATGAAGTCGAAGTCGAGCTCTAGATGCTTAAACTCAAGCTTAATTTCGAAGAGGTGGGTGTCTGCTTCGTCGCTCTCTCACAGTCAAACAGCCAACTAGCTAGCAGGCTAATTATTGCGTAAACAGGAACGGAGTGGTAAAGTAGTAAAGCTCTCCTCTTGCTTGGTTTTATTAGCTGTCTGGGCCATTGATGAGTAGCACAACTCCCTGCCTTGCACTGAAAAATGTAAGATATTTTAACTTGTATGCACATCTAAAAACCCCTAGAAAACTGTGATGTGTGGTGCAAGAGAGGAGTGCTCGCCAGGCAAATAATGGTTTTGCAGACAGTGTGTTTCTTGGAATTTGTTCGCCCCTTAGACTAATTGGAGTTAATGTTAACTAAAATGTTGTTGTTGTCTATTGTAATCAATTTGTAGATCAGCAGTTTCCAGTTCTGTGTTTTGAACCTTGTGTTTACATTAAGTCAAGAATTGTTCTTTTGAAGAAGCGAGGAACTCAGCACTCAGTCTCCCCATCCACAGTTACCTTACCACTCTTTTCCTTCCTATTTCTTTTGAAATAATCATCCCACCAAATGGAATTAGGCAAACGGTGTTTAGACTTCAAATCTTGGACATCCATATATGATCCTGGCAGCATTTCTAAAACCATCTTTCCACTGGCATTTAGTTGTAACCACTACATCATATTAGGTCCCTCTTTAGTAGTTAATTTTTGCACTTATTAGTGAATGTTTAGGTAGCCCGGGACGTCTGACCCAGTGGTTTTTCATGCCTCTCAGGTTTATGAAACATTCCTCTGGCTGCTTGGATTTACTCCATGCGTCTGCACTCTTTAGTGTGAACAGCTGACAGCCACAGACAAAGCACTGAGCACTGGAGACAGGGGTTTGGACCTGACACAAGGATGCCAAGAACTACTGCACAGGGAAGATATATTAAAAGATCAAGTTAAAACGATTGAAGGAAAAGCTACATTTGCTTGAAGAGCTGTATGTAAGTTATTGCTGTACAGTAGGTAGAGGGATTTAATTTGTCAGGTACTTGAGATGGGGAAATTAGATGCAATATTACTGTCAAAGTTTGTCCTCTTCACCCATCTCTTCTTCCTGTCAGTCTGTACTGAGGGCTGGGTTTTATGAGGGTGGGGAAGGACTCAGCAGATAAGCTGTTTTATAGTACTGCTTAAGGCGACTTCTTCCTGATCTCAGTGTGAACTCATAGCAAAGGATTTTTTGAGCTCTCTTTCTTTATTTGAGGAAACTAAGAAGAAAGAAAGAATGAGAAGAAAACCAGACAAAGGGAAGCAGGCACAGGAGCTGAAGGTGGCATGTCTGCTGTTTGTCTGTTTTGGAATAAAGCTTGGTATGCTCATATGCCAATATCTACCTCTCAGACACTTATAATGAAGGATTGGAAGACATCCCAGAGTTTTGTTTGCTGACTTCTCTCTCTCTCTTAGATTTTTTTCTTTATTCCTGCTCATGTTTCAGAGGCGCCACTGGATTTAGAAGCAGTGGAAGAGGAGGAGAAACAGATAGAGAGGGGTAGTTGAAAGTATTTAAGTGCAGGGAGGAGACTTATCACAAGCTTTTCAAAATTGCAAATTACAAAGTAGATTTTTTTTGTCGTTTTGACTGGAGCCTCACCAGTCAATTGTGACGAGCTTGAACTTGAAAGTGATTTAACATTTTCCAATGGATCAAAGTGTAACCAAAATTTGTTTGCTTTCCCTACCCCTCTTCTTGGTTTGCACCATGTTTTCGGTGGCAGTGAGCAACCATACAGGAAGGATCAAGGTGGTCTTCACACCAACTATCTGCAAAGTAACCTGCATAGGAGGCAGATGTCACAACAACTGTGAACTGGGAAACACCACCACCATCATCAGTGAAAACGGCCACTCCACAGACACCCTGACAGCACCTAACTTCAGAGTAGGTAGGTGATCCTACTTGGTTTCAGGACAAATCAGCACTGACTTGCCCCTCCGACAGACACACACAGGTCTCTTACGCTCTCTAAAATTGAGAGACCTGTTTTTTGACTGACTTGTTGAGAAAAAAAGGAGTTTCCATTCTGCATGTGTTTCTTTACCAGCTGTGATCTGTAAACAGCAGGGAGCCCACACATGGAGTTGCACAATCTGACCGTCTGTCTAGAATGCTTATGACAAATTATCACATAAAACTGCATTAATCAGTATTTTCATGTTAACCCTGGATTTAATGACAATGTGTAAAAGCCACTTATAGTGACAAGCCCACAGAGAATTATGACCTAATTCGGCAGTTCCCCTCAGCTCTATGGAAGGTTTTAGTGTCTTTTAGCTAATTTGGTCTGGTTTTCTGTCCTAAAATGCTGCTCTCATCAATCCAGATTATTTTAGGTGGAAAGCTAAAAAGAAAGCGATTTTTGGACTTACATGGATCAGATCACCAAACGAATGCTAATGTCTCTCCGTGTCTACTGGATGTTTATGTGAGCAACTGTGTGCTAAAACGTTCTCTATAACAACTTAATGTTGTGTTAAAAGTAGTAAAAAGAATCGTGAGAGTGAGACACTTAAACTGAATTTAGTTCATTAATCTAGTTGAACTGAATTTAGAAAATGGATCTAGTTACTTTAAGAGTCTCAAATAAGAAGAATAGTGCAGTGACTATGTTGGTCAAAAAACGTGAAATATATGAAATGTAATCTGACTTTGCCATTTCCAAACATTCTTTTTAGATGTGTGTTCTCAAAGGTGTCAAATAAAAAGAAGTCGAACAAATGTTGAAATTCAGTCACAGGCAACTTTTCTTGACTAACAAATGTGTTGATCTTGATCTCTGTCGTGGGTAATAGACTTGTAAGTTTGTGATCAATTTGATTGAATATAATTGTGCAATACATCCTCAGGAGTCAGCAGAGTACATTATGTATGTACACTGTTTAACTAACCAATGTATCCATCTTGATACCTGTCATTGTGGTTACAGCTTTTACAGTTTCCTTAAAAAATCTAGATGCATTGTGTGTTGTGTCAAGTAGTAAATCAAAGGCATAGTGTAAATGTCCTTCAATTTAGTGCATACAATATGATTGCAACCTTTGGATATCATGAAACAGCTTCTGTGTAATGGAGCACATGATGTGGGTGTTCTTTAATGTGTTGCACAGACCCAGCAAGCTGTGTCTTAACCTGCCGCAGGCCTTACATGGAGCAGATCAGTGTCTACAGCTCTGACACATGCAGAAACATGGGAAGAGCGAAACAAGATGAATTCCTGTGTGACTCAGCAGAACAAATTAGTATAACTGGAGTAACACCAGAACAAACAGAAAAAACAACAGACTGTTAACTCTGGATGACCTGGAGGGATGGTTTTCTTCTGTTTACTGGAATTGATTTGTAGTGAAGTCTGGGTTCACTAATGGAGGTTCAATACATCTTCTTTTTGTGGTAATTCTGAAATCAGTTTATTCAGAATAAACATGTCAGTGAAAGTAACCTCAAGAAACAGAAATGAGTGTAACTAATGTATTCTTAACACCAATAATTCTAATGATGATGTTTTTTGTAGGAAAACATGGAAATTTTATAGGAGCTGGACACTTGTTATTCCAAGATGCAGTGCAATAAAAGTTATTATATGGTAACCCAACAGTGATTTCAGTTTGAACCAAAGTGGTGAGCTGACCAACAGATTGACATCCCTAGAGTCATTTGCTTGGCTAAAAAGTTTTCTGTTGTGCAGCTTGTCCTGCCCTTCGTTCCTTTCACTCTACATTGAGGTGACATACATACATATATAAAACAAAAACATTTCTAGGCTCTAGGAAAGTTTTACAAATATTAACTGTTCGTGTTTTAAAAAATATGTATATATAAAATAAGGACCTTGTATGCCATTTTAGATGTCCTGTGAAGTTTTACAGATGTCCCTTTAAAGGTCCAGTGTGTAGGATTTAATTGCAGACCTGGTTGCAGATCACAACTCTGTGGCTTCAACCTTCCATTCCAAACATGAAGGAGAGAATACGGTGGTCGCAAAATGCACAAAATATGTGAATACCCCTATGTAGAGCCAGTGTTTGGTTTGTCCTTTCTGGGTTACTGTAGAAATATGGTGGTTCAACATGGCAGCCTTAATGGAAGGCGACAGGTGGCATATGTAGACATGAACAGCTCATTCTAATGTAACAAAAACAATTCCTATATGTAGCTAGTTATACACTAATGAAAACATACCTATGAATATTATATTCCATTTCTGACAATAAATCCTCCTTAATGTTACACCCTGGACGTTTGATAATCGTGAGGACAAGCCTTTATGGCTGCAGAAGATTTTAAGTTGCAGTTTTGTCTTTGGCATATAAGAAAATTTAAATTTAAAAAGCTCACGTTACAACAGTCTGAAATTGGTTATGACACAGGCTTTGGTTTCTAAACAGTCTGGATGTGAAAGTGCTGTGTGAAGGAGCTAATTAAACCCAGCAATCACTCACTCACCTAGCTTATGATTTAAATAATCAAGTTCCATGATTTCTTGCATTGTAATCAGAAGAAATGGATCATTTATTAAAAAGAAAAACAGTACTGCAAAAGTGGCGAGGAAACCTAAGAGATATGAAAGGTGCAACATCAGCCCTGTCTTGGCATAAAAGCAAAATTAACTCATGAAGGCTTGTGGCTTTTTTCCAGAGTTGTAAGTATATTGTTGGAGCCGCAAGATATTTCTACAACTGGACTAAATATTGGAAAGTTTTCTTTAGATTATAGGTTTAACGGCATTTGATGATTACTGAATATCTTGGACAGAAGGGTCTTAGGAAGGGAAAAATTCACATACGTTCCAGTGTTATATATGTTGGTTTACATGTGAGGTCCCACTGCAGTAATGGTGGCTTATTTATTTTGGAAATGCAGAACAGTAAAAATATATTTATTTATTGCTAACCTACTGTTGATAATTAGATCTTTAGAGAATGTTGCAGATTGACCATGCACCTCAATCTAACTGATGGTGAAGAAATAGAGGTTCAGTCTCATGTGCCTGTCCAGGCTTGCTTCATACCTCCCCCTGCCCTCAGTCTTTCTTCCCTTCCTTCCTGTCTTTCTCATCTGTGTGATAGGGCGCCTACCTGAGCCAAGGAACTGGGTAGCTGAAAGCCTTTTTGCAGTCTAGCCGAGCTCAAAGAGCTGAGATAAATCGCTCATCTTGTTTATCATACTTACCTGATAAGAGAGGCAGTGAGGGAGGAGTGTTGATTCACAATACAATGGAAGGAAGGGGTGGATCTTTTTAAACTCAGCCCATAGCCAATAATGGCATAACAGAGATATCAAGTCCAGAACATAAGGCTTGGAGATGGATTTATCAGGGTTTCAGCAGGTTCTAAACATGTTGAAAGAATGAAAAAATTTTGTAATTTTAGATTACCATGTATTGTGGAATGTCAATTACTTACTTACCATTTGTGAAATACACTTTCATTTCAACCAAATGTAGTCTGGTTATATGTTACAAGCTAATCAGCAGAAACATGCTGCCTGGCACACCAGCCTAGTTCTTCATGCAGCTGTCTGATTGTCTCTTGAATCCTGAGTGTATCACTGTTTTCTGTCACATTGTTTCTAGTTATGTAATGATAATTTGAAAGCAAAATGTGTAAGCTATTGAAGTCACTCAAGTGTTTTACTGTACTTTCAGGACTGGTACTATACTTGCGGTTATTCAATTCAATTTCGATTCAATTCAACTTTATTTGTATAGCGCCAATTCATAACAGAAGTTATCTCAGGACACTTATCAAAATAGAGCAGGTCTAGACCGTACTCCTTATAAAATTATTACAGAGACCCAATAGTTCCCACCAGGAGCAAGCAAAGAAAACGTCCTTTTAAGAGGCAGACCCCGGATCTAGGTGGGTGGCCAGCTGAGTGAGTGAGTGAGTGAGTGAGTGAGAGAGAGAGAGAGAGAGAGAGAGAGAGAGACCAATTTGATGTTTTGATGCTCAAGTCTCTGTAAAAGAATATTATGGTCAATGGTGTCAAATGCATTGTATTGCTGCTGCTCTGTAAGCTATTGCTGCCTGCTGCGCTGTAAGCTTTCTTAGTTATTGATTCATCTGACCATTATTGCAAATGCAATTGTCATCCTACCTTTCGGCTTTATTGGGCACTATGTCTCTCGCCATCTCTGACTGGGAGAGTGAGTCTCTTTCCTAAGGAGAAGATATTGGCTTCATCCCCGACACCCAGGCTCAGTCTGCTGAGGCCGCATCACCCGCAAACGACTTGCCGCGGGCCTGTGCACCACATCCTGGGAGAGCTGTATGCTTTCTACATCTCAGTTCCATCCGGCCTCAGTTACCTCTCGGTTCAAGAGAGCTCCGCTGATGACGCCGCCAATCAAACACTGCAAGTCCCCTGCCGACTATGTTCCTCAAAGATCGAGGCGATCTGATCCTGGTCCCGATACTGAAGGATCCATTCTGTCTCCTTGATGTGGAATCTGCTCTGAGTGTCATCAATTAATTCCCTGGAAACAACGCGTTTTCTCGGCCCGTAATATAAACACAGTGCCATCTTCTGCTACCTGTGAGACCGCTAAACCTGTCCCGCTGCCTGTTGACGTTAAACCCCACGGGATTCTGGGAACTGTAGTCCCAGCTCATATAATGGGCTCTCGGTTCCTGCACCCTTGCAGTAGCAATTCCTGACTCCCCCAGGAGTCAAATTCTATCAGATAATCTGTTTCTCACTCAGCAATTAATAAAATAATACATTCATATGAACAAATCTATATTGACTGGCTTAAGGAAGTAATAGAGAAATAGATGGGGAAGGAAACAAACAAATAAATAAATAAATAATGATAATGACGTTTGATGATGATGATGATGATTATTATGATGGTAATGGTGATTGTAATGGCGATTAAGATAATAATGAAAATCGCTTTTGGAAACACAATATGTGAAGTTACAGTATGTGCAACGTAGAGAGGAGCTTGATACTTGGCTGTAATATCAGTACTTGCTCTTCTGTGGTGGCTCTCTTTTTATGAGTATCATAAGTCCTTCTCTGCCAAAGCTGCAACGTACATTCAGAATTCAGTCAGAACTAGATTGGTGTATAGTCATCCTTCCACTAATCGGCAGACATTTTACATTTTTACAGGTCATAACTCTAGTCTGCTATCTCTGCAGCAAACTGCAGATGCTGAGACAAGACCTTGTTGAGGGCCTGAGTATTAACAGCCTGGTTCTCCTGATTATTCATTCCGCTAAGGCATTTAAAACATTCTTGTTATGAAAGTATAAGGATTAACTAGCTGGCATCTAAGCTAGCTGATAGTTGGTTGCTGTTAACAACTTGACATGGTTGCTTTTACATTTTCCAGTTTTAGAGTGATGTTTGGGTAGTGATATTTCTCTTTTAGTGGACAATAATAATAATAATAATAATAATAATAATAATAATAATAATACAAAAATTAATAAATGTAAAAAATAAATTAAAAATTAAAAATAACACAAATATTTTCTTTCAGTTAACTCAGCTAAAGTTAGTTTTATGAGGCTGTTAGCATCATCGCTAAAAACATGATCTAACAACTTCCCTATGTTCAGGAACTGCTCTGCAAGGACTGCCAAAATATCAGCTGCAGTTAAAATCCGTGCTAATTTTTGTAAATAGAGTTTTATGGTTTTCCTCCCCTGGGTGGAGTTGAAGAGCCTCATGGCGTGGGGGAGGAACGATCTCCTTAGTCTTTCAGTGGAGCAGGACAGTGACAGCAGCCTGTTGCTGAAGCTGCTCCTCTGCCTGTAGATGGTGCTGTGCAGTGGATGCAGTGGATTATCCATGACTGACAGGAGCCTGTTCAGCGCCCATCGCTCTGCCACAGATGTCAGGCTGTCCAGCTCTGTGCCCAACACAGAGCCCGCCTTCCTCACCAGTTTGTCCAGACGGGAGGTGTCCTTCTTAATGCTGATTACTTAACAGTCTGATAGAACATCTGCAGGAGTTATTTGCAGATGTTGGACACCAGCATTCTGAGGAGGTATAACCAGCTCTGACCCCATCTGGACAGGGCATCTGTGTTGGCAGTCCAGTCCAGCCTATCATCCAGGTGTACTCTCTGTTCCAACTCACACGGTCACCGTTGATGGTCACAGGTTCCGGGTGAGCCCTGGGCCCTCTGATGTCCACTCCTTCGTCTTGGTGGTGTTGAGGCGCAGGTTGCTGGAGTCACACCATGTGACAAAGTCCTGGATGAGTTTCCTGTACTCCTCCTCCTGGTCACTCCTGATACAGCCCACGATAGCCGTGTCGTCGGTGAACTTTTGCACGTGACAGGACTCCGAATTGTAATTGAAGTCCAACGTGTACAGGATGAACAGGACCGGAGAGAGCACAGTCCCTTGCGGCGCTCCCGTGCTACTGACCACAGTGTCAGACCTGCTGTCCCTCAGTTGCACATACTGGGGTCTGTCTGTTAGGTAGTCCATTATCCATGCCACCAGATGTGAGTCTACTCCCATGTCAGCTAGTTTGTATTGCAGAAGGCGAGGCTGGATGGTATTAAAGGCGCTGGAAAAGTCCAGAAATGTAATTCTCACAGCACAGTTTCCTCCAATGCACAGGGGATACTCCATCGGGACCTGCTGCTTTACTGGGACGAAGCCTCTTCAGCTATCCACACACCTGGGCTGCCGTAATAGTGGGTGGGACAACCAGCTCCTCTGTGGCTCCTGAGGGGAGCGAGAGCGGGAGAGAGACAGCAGCAGAAGGGGGTATGGTGACCTGAGATGGGGTGGTCGAATCTGCTGAAGAATTGGTTCATCAGGTTTGTTCTCTCCGTATCTCCCTCCATGTTGGCCCCCCGCTTTGAGCTGCAGCCAGTGATGATCTTCATCCCATCCCACACCTCCTTCATGCTGTTGTTCTGCAGTTACTGCTCCAGCCTCCTTCTGTACTGCTCCTTCGCTTCCCTGAGCTGGACTCTGAGTTCTCTCTGTATGCGTCTAGGCTCCTGCTGATCTTCGTCTTTAAAGGCCCTCTTCTTCTGGTTAAGAAGGCCCTTGACGTGACTTGTAATCCAGGGCTTATTGTTTGCATAGCAGCGTACTGGTTCTTACAGGAACAACAACATCATCCATACAGAAGTTGATGTAGTCAGTAGTGCAGTCAACAGCCTCCTCGATGTACTCACAGTGCGAACCCTGCAGTACATCACACACCAAAGCAGTCTCTTAGAGCCTTCTCTGCTTCAAAAGACCATTTCCTGAATAAACGCATTGTTGTGGGTTGTCTCCTCACTTTTGGTTTGTAGTGAGGCTGAAGCAGAATCAGGTTGTGATCAGCTTTCCCCAGTGCAGGCAGAGGGGTGGCGCTGTATGCGTCCTTAACGTTTGCATACAGTAGGTCAATAGTCTTATTTCCCCTGGTGTAACAGTTCACATACTGGAAGAAAGCAGGTAGTGTTGTGTCCAGAGTCACGTGATTAAAGTCCCCAAAGATTAACACCAGAGCCTCGGGGTGCTGTGTTTGTATCCTCCCTACAGTGGAGTGGATGACGTCACACACGACTACCTCGTCAGCACGTGGTGGGATGTAAACAATAACCACAATGGCGTGTCCAAATGGTCGCAACCCTACGGCAAGCAGATCAACGTCCCTGTTGCAGATGGAAATCTTGATGTTCACATGTCCAGGGTTACACCACCTTGTGTTCACGTATACGGCTAGTCCACCTCCTTTCTGCTTCCCATAGGCATTAGTGTCTCTGTCCGACCTGACTGTGCTGAAGCCGGGTAGCTCAACGTTAAAGTCCGTGACGTTAGCCGTTAGCGACGTTTCAGTGAAGCACAGCAAACTGCACTCCCTGTAGATTTTAACGTTTTTCACCAGCGCAGCCAGTTCGTCTATCTTATTCGGTAGTGAGTTCACATTTCCCATGATCACCAACAGTACAGAGGGTTGCCACTTCTTCACCAGTCGCTTGGCCTTTAGCTTTGCGCCGGCTTTGCAGCCACGCTAGGGTCTCCTCAACTAAATGGGGAACCACACCGGCCCAGGACTTTGTCTTCAGTGTGAGAAGGTGGTTTCTCGGATAAACAAGTTTGGGTAAATAAATATCCATATCTATAGGATAGAAGTTGAACAGATGTGACAAGGCACAAATGCGAATATAAAAAAACAAAAACAAACGTAACAAAAAGTAAAAAAAGATCACTGCACACTCGCGGCTGCTGAAAGGGCTACCACTCGCGGCGGCGCCATGGCAATGATATTAGTGCCATAGTAAAGGATCTTCTTTTCGAAGAGGTTATTAAGGAATACATGCTAGTTCATTGTTAAAATCGCCCTTCTCCTTCTTCAGAGTATATTCTTAGGTGTTTCCACAAGCAACAAAAACAAAGAACCTCTCCTCATTGTTTTCTCTGCTCCTCGCGATTCTTCCATTCCGAGCATAAATGGCTTAATTTCTCATGAGCCGTTTGCCTTCTTCGCTTTGTAGAATGTGCAGTACCCAGAGGTTTGTGTATAGCTGGGAAAAGCAGACAATAGATGCCTTCAAGTCATACCACTATCCTTTGCATGGCATCTTTTCAGTGTAGATGGTCTTCTAAATTGTACTTTTCTGTTAAACTGACATTCGGTTGCTGCAGTAGCCCTTCTTGACTGAATAATTTTTCTCTACACATTTGCAAACTCCGTTTCGTCTTGCATCTTCATGATTTTTATAGTAGTTCACTTATTCTCTTCCCCACCAGCCCGCAGTATCTGTACAGTCAGAAACTTTTCCAGGAGTTAGGAGTACCGCTTTCCAAAGAGAAACCGTAGGCCCTTCTACGCGTTTTGGAATTTCTTGGCATAACCCTTGATAGTGTGCTCATGCAAACGTCTCTGCAACAAGACAAGCTGTCTTGCATAAGAACAGCTATTAAATCGGGTCTGCTGACCCCATTCTCTCTAGAAGTTTTTCTCTAACTTCGCTATGTGCATTCTCCCTCAAGGTCGTCCATAACACGCTTGCTGGTTTTGGCTAAATCTGTTAAAATCTTAAGATACTGCATCTTACACTAGGCTGTTGCTCAGATATGCGGTTCTAGTCTTTTTTTTTGTTATGTGATGATGGACCGGCATTGCTTTGTAAATGACTACGAGGAATCTGCAGATTCCCCCTAGTTTTGACTGATGCAGCGCCTCTGTTGGTTTTGGGGGGTGCTCATAATGAGTGGTTTGCAGACAACAGAAATTCAGTTCCTTAAAACCAGTTCTAAATTCACTGCTCTTTATGAACACTACCCAATTGTCGTTTGGGGCAGTAGATGGTCCCAGAAACATTATGGTGTTTTGTGAGCTGCTTTAATGGAAATAATTTACAGTTGTGCATTTATTGTTTTGACTTGATCCTAACATCTTCAAATGCAAAGTATAAAGCTATGCTAGCAGGGATTCAGTTTCACATTCGATGTAAAGATCAAGCATCACAGAGTCTTCTGGGAAATCCTCCATTCAGCTGCTACTCAATGGCTTTAAAAGGCACATCCTCAAGGCAATGATAAGACTCCTCACACAATTCAGTGGTGCATAATTGTTTTTCACTTATATTGATGTAATATTGGAAAAAATTCTGTTAATGGCTTTTACGGGTTTCTCAGGTGTGAATATGCATGCAGATCTCATCTTAATCCTCAGCATGATCTTCCCTTTTCTGATTTAACCTTAGAAGATCACATCACATGTACTCAATATTCTTGAAGCACTCGCAGTCTGATAGATCTCACCAAGGCACTCAAATTTAATTGCTAAGACTAACACTACATTTTGTCCTTTCTCTTATATGATGAAATCCCTGCATCATCGCTCCAACCCATCGGTTGGCTCGCTTGTTCATCGTCGTTGGTTGCAACCCATGACGAGGTCCCGGGTCTGCTTAAGATGTGTGATCTTTGCTGAGCTGCGGCCTAACGTGAACACTATTCCTTCCCTACCTAAGATTAGCGCAGCTACAACCGCAGCTGTCCATCTGCCTGCATCAACCAATCTACCAAGGCTATGTCAAGCTCCACAAGAAGGAATTTTGATTGTGCCAAAACTCATGAGCTTCTGCTCCCCTTATTGCAGGGCTCCAGACTAACTTTTTGCATTGGTTGCACTGGTACGCCTAACTTTTTTTTTTTTTAGGTGCACCAGCACAAAATTTAGGAGTACCCAAATTTTCGCACTCTGCGCAACTCGGTGCGTGCTGCGGCCGCGTGCCGTCGTGACACGTGCGGACCACGACATGAAAATCACACATAAATCAGCTCAAAATAGCCACCCAGCACATACTTCCTGTTGCCGGTAGGTGGCACTATCTCTGTGTCTGAATATTGTCATGTAGACGTGTTCAGGGCGGGACTCTTATCAAACACGTGGAGTTTCGTTGAGATCAGATAATACACTGTGAGGATGTGTTCAGGCTAGGACTGTTACAGAATATGTGAAGTTTATTGGAGATTGGACATTGCACACTGAAGTTATGAGTACTGTTTTATGGCAAATCGGCTGAATTGGATGAGTTGTCACTGGCTAGTGGTTTGACGTACAGTCAACTTTTCCTCTAGTTTGTATGGAAACAGAATTCAAAATGGCCAACTTTGATGGCACGCCACAGACACGCCCTTCAACATACAGTCTCAAATAGCACAAATTTTAAATAACCAATGTGTTTAGATTGCAGTGATCGAATTTGAAGTCAATCTGATTAAATCTGTAGGAGGAGTTCGTTAAAACAGAAGCCCTTAAATGCCGGAAATGGCATCACAGTTTGACATTCGATTCAACCTGGCCAACTTTGAGGGCACGCCACGGACATACATGCACACATTGCACAACTTTTAATCAGGACCAATCTTTTGACTGGACTGACCAATTTTGAAGCAGATCAGATAAATTCCCTAGGAGGAGTTTGTTCAAATACAACACAAAAAATCACAGAAAATGAGAAAAAAAATCTAAATGGCTGACTTTGACGGCACACCACGGACACACCCTTCAACATACATGCACAAATAGCACAACTTTTAATCAGCACCATTTTTTGACTGTACTCACAAATTTTGAAGCAGATCCGATAAATTCCTTCGGAGGAGTTCACTCAAATAGAACACGAAAAATCACAGAAAATGACAAAAAAAATCAAAATGGCTGACTTTGATGCCACGCCACGGACACGCCCTTTAATGTAGATGCACAAATAGCACAACTTTTAATCAGCACCATTTTTTGATCGTACTCACAAATTTTGAAGCATATCCGATAAATTCCCTAGGAGGAGTTCGTTCAAATACAACGCGAAAAGTTCGCCAAAAGTGAAAATGAAAATCAAAATGGCCGACTTCCTGTGGGGTTTCGGGTATGGGTCCAAGAGGCTTTTATGTACGTCCTGTCATGTTACACGTGCCTACTGAGTTTCGTACATATCGGTGAAACGTGGCGCCGGGGCTGCTTTTTTTTATCCTGTAGGGGGCGCTACAAACACGATTTTTTGTAAGTGAGCTTCAGGCACCACTCTACATGTGCCCTGTTAATTTCATACTCATAACTATTACGGTCTCCGCACAGTGATTTATCATGCCAAAAGAGCGCCACGTAGTGGCCGATTGTCGACACATTTTTTAGCGAGCCTCAGGGAGCCATGGGGAAGCATTGTACCACGTTTCATCTTACGGTGCTATCCATTTGTCTCGTGAACTCGGAACACGAGTTGGAAAGTGTAAGTCTCGCAGCTATCTCGCGACATTTCACGGAGACACACCCTCTTTTGGTCGGAATATCAGCTGTCCAGCTCAGGGTACCTCACAGTACACCGAGCTGGACGAGGACGAATGTTTGACTCGAAAACAAAGATGGCTGCTCCCATATTTCATGGTAAGTTGAGATGTATTTTCTTTGTATTTGTACTACGTTGGTCGTTTTAATGTCGATTTTAAATGCTCTTACACACTTGCTTCTTTAGTCAGGTCATGAATTTATGCATTGCACGGTGTTGCTGTGCGTGCAGTACAATGTTAAGTTTTGTTTTCGAGCTGGTTTGCTAGATAGGCTAATGTAGCTACAATAACACTAGCCTGCTACTGCCCCTGGAGGCTCGAGACAAACGCCACAGCACTTGTTGAAATTGAAATAGGCGAAAATGGCAAAATATTATTGAAATGTAAGACTTGCAATAACGGAATTACTTGAAATGTTAGTGTTTCTGTAGAAAAACATGTTATTATTTCACATTGAGCTGAAACAGTACCCAAAAAGGGGGCACAAGGGACATGTTTTCAGCCTACTTTTGTTAGAAAACGAGGTGAAAATGTGTGTTGTTGCTAGTGGTTTAGTAGGGAAAAAATAGAAATGATAAATGGTTGTAGATTGCTGTAAGGTGGGTTTCACATCAGAGTTTTGTGGTGTTCCTTCACAGTATATACTGAGGTTGCAGTCTGTAACATACATTGTGTTTTTTTTCTCTTTAGTCTTCCTCAACCACAGCATGGTTGCATTTGTGGACAAGGACAGGACCGTGCCTTACCAGGGCAACCTGTACCAAAATGCAGAGAGGTACTTTGTAGATGAGGGCCTCATGGTGGCAGTCGACCTACACCTGGCAGATTGCACTTGCACGGGTGAGTTATTAAAAAGCATGATGCTGTAGACATGAGCATACTTAAACATTTATCATTTATCCCTGGGTGCTGCAAGTACTGTGCTGACTTGTTTCTTTTTTATTATTCAGATACCTGCAATGTCCAGGTTACTGCATCACTTCCCGTGAATGAGTGCTTCAACAAAGAGCAGACCCTCTTTCTAATCCACCTGATGGGGATCCATCTGGAGGTAGAGGGCGAGGGACCTGCAAAGTCCCTCAATGACCTCAACCGGCGGCTGAGGTTGCGGAAGAAAACGAAGACACTGCTGTGGGAGGAGATGGCTGGGAAGCTTGGCAGACAGTTCAGGGAGCAGTTCCAGCCCAAGAAGGTGGCACGCAAGTGGTTGACGCTGGTGGAGGGATACAAAAAATGTAAGGACAATAACGCGTCGACGGGAAGGGGGCCTGTCCGCTTCCAGTTCTACACGGAGATGGACGAGCTGATTGGGGGAAATCACGACGTGGACCCACCTGTTGTGGGGAGCGATCGTGCTGGTGTCGTGATACGCCGACCAGATGCACTGAGGCAGTCCAGCAGTGCTCCCTCACCAGTGTCAGCAGACTGGGATCCCTCGTCATCTCCCTGCAACTCAAAGTTGTCAGCGCTGCCCACCAGAGCTCCCTCTCCAGTGCAGTCCACCAGCTCCTCTTCCCCGTCTCCTGCTTCTCCCTCAGCCAGTCGGACTCCAACTCGCGAACCCGCCACGCCCTCTAGCACCCCGAGGTCGCAGAAGCATCAGAGGCGGGAGGATGACCTCTTGGCCCACTTCGCGAGGTCTGAAGCTGCTGCCCTGATGCGACACAAAGTGTATGTGGCAGAGATGAGGGAAACTCGAAGTGTCCTCATCCAGTTGTTAAGCAGGACAAGAAGTGAGGCAGGACAATGACAAAATGCACAAAGCGTTGTGTATATTTTTCTTTTTTTTCCTATTTGACTCTATTCTTGTGTGATTTTTGTGTGACTTATTTATTATATTTGTGATTTATATATTTATCTTATTTTTTTGTGTGGTTTTATATTTTAAGCATTGCACCAAGACAAATTCCTTGTATGTTTAAAAACCTACCTGGCAATACAATTGTACTTCTTCAACTTTCTGTTTTTTTAACTTGGATTAGCCTTTTGTATTGTGCTCTTACTTTGCACTTGTTTGTTATTATTGTTATAACTTTTTGTCTTAAAATAAACACATGTATATTGTTTAACTCATCCAAGCGTGAGCGTGTTTGAATGTCACCCAGGTGTGTTTAGTTACAAAGGCACCTCACTGCAGTCATGCAAAGGATACATTGCATTGTTATCAAACCCATAAATAATATGAACCATCACACCCATAAATAGTATGAACCATGCCAGTGCATAGTTGTGGCCAAAGATTTCAGAATGAAAACATTTTTTGGTTAGATTTCACTTGAAGGTATCTACATACTGAGTGACATGACACTGACACTGTATGGCCCATTGAGTCTGGAATGTGACCTTTCCATTTCCCCCCATTAAATAGAGTGGTCTATAACTAAAGAAACAGTAAATGTAAGTGTGATGAAGCTGGAATATGAATGCAAGTGTGAACTGTATATGGCCCATTTAGTCTGGAATGTGACCTTTTCTTATGCACACACTGACTTCAGTGCTTATGCCTCTAAGCAAGTACAGGTGCAAATGGCTGAAATGGTCCATTTTGAGTCTGGAATGTGACCTTTTCTTATGCACATTCACTTTTATCTGGGTCTACAATGTGATAACTGTGCAACACAAGCCTTTCCATTTCCCCCCATTAAATAAACTGGTTTATAAATAAAGAAACACCAAATGTAAGGTTTGACACTTTTATTACAAAACACACAGGAACTTCTTACACACTTCCTACTCATTGCCATCTTCCTCTCTTGGACATCCACATGGGTGTTCTTCACATCCTATCAAGGCATCTTGGGCAAAGTTGTGAAGGTAACATGCAGCCAAAATGATCTTCACCACAGTGACGATGCATGTGTTTTGCAAGTCTCTCAAGCGCCTCCAATTGCACTTCATCCTCCCAAATGCCTGCTCAACGATGACTCTACCCCGGCTGATGTTGGCGTTGTGGCCAAGGTCTGCATCTGTGAGAGCCCTGTTGTCACGTTGGGGGGTGAGGATAAATGGGAAAGTCTGACCAATGTAAGCACTATCCCCCAGCAGACGGTACTCCCCCATCATCTCTTGCCATTCTTGGAAAAATGGGGAGGACCGCAGCAGCCTGGCATCATGCACTCTGCCAGGGATTCCAGTGAAGACGTTGATGAAGCGGCCTTCAGCATTGACAATCCCCTGGAGGAGGACAGAGTAGTAGGACTTCCTGTTCATGTAGTCCCCTCCTCTGATCGGTGGCCTCTGGATCCTGATGTGGCAGCCATCAATCGCTCCAATGACCCCCTCAAGACCAGATGTGTGTTGGAAACTGGTGGCAGACACCCTCTTCTCACAGCCTGTATGCCAAGAGACAAAGGCCTGGCCAAGGGTGGACATGATGGTCAGCACTTTGAGTATGGCGCGATGTGCTGATGACAATGAGACGTTGAGCTTGTCAGATATCCCCCGGAAGCAGTTCTGGTTGGCCATGTACCACAGGAACATGAGCACCTTCTTGCCAATAGGCAGGGGAGGCTGCCCTTGGTGGTGGTCACTTCGCAGGCCACCCTCCTGTAGGTACCTTTGAAGGACCTCAAACCGGGTTCTGGGGATCCTGAAATGCCGGGCAAATGTGTGGTCATCCATGTCCAGCATTATCTGCCATTCTGTGCCAGACTTGAGGATGATCTGATTTCTGGACCGCAGCACAGCCACAGCCACAGCCCTATTTGAGGGAGAGAGAAATGAGAGAACTGTGATTAATATAGATAGCTCATATATTGTGTTTTTATTGCATTACACAAGGCAACGGATCTATCCGGGAAAAAAAATCAAGATAAGTGTCCATTGTACTTTCCACAGTAGCATGTAGATGCCTTAAAGATGCACATGACCAAACATACTGAAATGTGGACATACCATTTGCGTCTTCTATTTTCTTCCTCCATCGCCTCATACTGGAGCTTTTGTTCAACGTCCAGCAATAACCAGACAGCTGCTGCACTGGTGGCGTCCATGTTCTTTCCGAGTCGAAATGCCCAAAGACAAACTGGAACGAAGTGGTACAAGCCAGGCAATTACGTCACGTTCTCTCGGCAACTCGGCCTCCGACAAATGAAGTGACAAATGGATAGCACCATTAATCACACATACCGTTGTAGAGATATAAACATCTTCATTTTAAAGAGCGCCACCTTGTGGGGATGGCCTGAAATTGTGCACGATGCCTAAGGAAGACATGAGTAACTGTGGACCCAAGCTTGGTGTCAATCGGACATACCAATGTGGAGAAATTGTCCACTTTCTTTTTTGACAAAAAATCCACGACATGAAAATCTCACGTAAATCAGCTCAAAATCGCCACGCAGCACTTACTTCCTGTTGCCAGTAGGTGGCGCTATCTCTGTGTCTAAATATTGTGTAGACGTGTTCGGGGCGAGAGTGTTATCAAACACGTGAAGTTTCATTGAGATTGGACCACGTACGCTGAAGTTATGAGGACGTGTTCAGGGCAAAACTGTTTCAGAATATTTGAAGTTTATTGGAGAGTGGACATTGCACACTGAAGTTATGAGCACTATTTTATGGCGAATCTGCTGAAATCGACAAGTTGTCACTGGCACGCAGTTTGATGTACAGTCAAAAATATCTTAACTTTTCCTTTCTATGACCACAGAATTCAAAATGGCCAACATTGACGGCACGCCACGGACACGCCCTTCAACGTACATGCACAAATAGCACAACTTTCAATCAGCACCATTTTTTGACTGTACTCACAAATTTTGAAGCATATCTGATAAATTCCCTAGGAGGAGTTCGTTCAAATACAACGCGAAAAGTTGAAAATAAAAATACAAATGGCCGATAACATCAAAATAATAACATCAAAACATAAAATCTCTTCAAATAAACTAAGACTGGCTTGTGTAGCTTGAAACTTTCAGGTTTCTCTTGAGGAAAATCAACATGTCAACATTCTCAGGTCGAAGCTGAGATCTCTGTGAGGTTGCAACATCCCCTGCAGTCGAATGTGCTGCTGCATGTTGCTCGTGTTGCCGGTATATGTTAGCAGTCTCTTGCAATATTTACATGCTGTTTTGGTTTTGTCTGTCCATTTCTCACCAGTTGTATTTGTGTATATGGGGAATCCAAAATGCCGCCACACAGGTGATTTAAAACCGCTCGGTGCATCCTCTATTTCAATTCAATTCAATTCAATTCAATTTTATTTGTATAGCGCCAAAGTATATTTCAAAGTTGTTGCCTACTGTCGCCATGTCTTCCCTCGTTCTGTGCCCCGTACCTACGTAGTGACGTAAGTCACGTGATTTGACATCTGACGTTGTACAAATGAATCACCAACCAGTGACTCTTTTTTAAGATAATGTAACCTATTTCTAAAAAAAAAAAAAAAAAAGAATCCTACTTCTCTCGCGATTCACATTTCTCGCGAGTCGACCGGTGCGAATCGTCAGGTATTTGTACCGATTTTTAATCGCGCCACGATGCATTGTTACATCCCTAATTATCATTAATAATTATTTTACTTGAAATGTTTGAGTTTGAAATGTTCAATTTCCGTTCAGTGAAGCAATTTAAGCACAAGCACTTTTATTTGGAAATGTTTTATTTTGCTTAGTTTTTTAGTTTGAAATGTTCAGTTTCAGCTCAGTAAAGCACTTTAAACACTTTATTTTTCTTTTTATATATAATTGTGCTTCAAATAAAGACAAGCATTTCCCTACATTTTATGCAATGAAAAATTTGGGTGCACCTAAATTTTGTGCTGGTGCACCTAGGCGCACCAGTGCAACCAATGCAAAAAGTTAGTCTGGAGCCCTGCCAAAAAAATACTTAAAAAATAGTAAATAATAAATGATAATAATAGAAATTTTTTTCATGAAACATGAAAGGAAGTTATCACAACTTCAGCATACATTGTCCAATCTCAAGGAAACTTCACACGTCTGATAAGAGTCCCGCCCTGAACACACCTACAAGGCAATATTCAGTCATACTCATAGCGCCCCCTACTGGCAACAGTTGTCACTGCTCATTGTCCCCCATCGCCGCTGTTGTCGTCGTCATCATCTACTGTTAGTGTGGTTGTTGCTACTGTTGTTGTTGCTGTGCAACTGTCTGTCTATCTGTCTATCTTTCTGTCTTCTGTCTGTCTCTGTCTCTGTGTCTCTCTCTCTCTCTCTCACCCCAACTGGTCGAGGCAGAGGACCACCCACTTTCCTAGGTTTCTGCCTTTTAACAGGCAGTTTTTCCTTGCCCCTGTCGCCAAGTGCTTGCTCATGGTGGTACTGTTGGGTCTCTGTAAATGTTATGAGTTCAGTCTAGACCTGCTCTATTTGAAAAGTGTCCTGAGATAACTTCTGTTATGAATTGGCGCTATACAAATAGAATTGAATTGAATATAAATGCGGTGCAAATTTAATCAAATTTTCAGAAAATCGGCTATAGAAAATATGGTCTAATCCATGTTCCTGTCCACTATGTGAATATTAAGAGGCCTTTCCACGGGATAACCAGTTGGTGGCGCTCATTTTCCAGTCTTTCCAGGGACTATTAAACCATTGCAAAAGAACATGATTCAATAAGAGGTTACTGAAAGTTAATCCACACCTTCATGTTGTTGGATGGCTGACATGCACATTTTGGATTCAGCACTAAATGCATCACACAAAGCTAAACAAACACAGAGAAACCTAAATTTCACTTTTTTCTCCATCTGTGTTTACAAGTCCTGCAGCTTAGCTTCCAGATGCAGTCGAATCCAGCTACTACGTACTTCAGTATAATTATTAACAGATGTATTGAAAAGTCAAGGAAATGTAAATCCAAACACGCACATGTATTGACAATGGAAAGTCCTTTTATGGTTTGTATTTCTGAGTGGGACCATTCAACATAATTTTCTTCTTGTGCTTTTTTCCCCCCTCCTCAGTGGTATGTCACCTGCCGTGTATAAATGGGGGCAAGTGCAGTGCCAGGGACAAATGTCAGTGCCCTCCCAGCTTTACTGGAAAGTTCTGCCAGATGCCCATTCAAAAGGGACACCAGCAGCACCAGCCGACATCAGGAAGCTTTAGCCAAAGTCAGGTCTTCTCCACACATACACTGCCTCTGACCTACAGCAATGGCCAGAATCCTGGTGAGTGAAAAGCACAATTATGATGCCAGCGGTACAAGTAAAGGGTAAACAAATGGTTTTGTGACCTGAATGGAAAATGTGGGTGGAAAAAGTAGAGGAGTAACACTTCCCGATTCCTTATCAGTGAATGTCCTCTAAAGCAACGTTTCAGCCCATTTACTGCCAGTCACACATTGTAAAGGCTACATGGAAGCTTGGGAAAAGCACAATTCACAAATGGGAAATCTTGCAGGTCTGGAGGGTGGTCAGCAGCAATGTAAAGTTATTTGTTTTAAATGGGCTAAACATGTACAAACACTGACATGGTCTTAAGCATACATGTAGAAACATACATGTAGAACCCCTGAACAAAATAAAAATCTGAAAGGATACAATCTTAATAAATCTTATGAGGATCATTTAAAAGTTACAAAACACATGACCCTTGTCATTCAAAAATGATGAGAGCATAACACTCAGCCAGTGTAATAGTCTCCCCGCCCTGCATTAGTGTTTCTGGATTTTGCAATTCTCTCTTTAGCTGGCCGTGGTGCAGTGATAGACATTGAAAATGTTAAAAGACCAGTGTGTAGGATTTAGTGGCATCTAGTGGTGAAGTGGCAGATTTGAACCCATTTGAATACAGCTTAGCCTTCCAGCGTGTAGCAGAAACTATGATGGCCACAAAAAAATAAATAAAAGGGAAACGCCCCATCTAGAACCAGTGTTTGGTTTGTCCATTCTGAACTGCTGTAGAAACAATGCGGACTCCGTAGAAGAGGATCTGCTCCCTCTGTAGATAAACCCATCTCATTCTAAGGTAATTAAAACAACAATTGTCATTTTCAGGTAATCATACACTAATGAAAACATACCTATCAATATTATATTCTGTTTCTGACAAAAGATCCTCCTAAATGTTACATACTGGACCTATAAAGCATGAATGCCAAAGCATTCTCTGGGTTCAACTTCTTTGGTGTGACCGTTGTCTGCTGTGTTTTTCTTATGTCATAAAAGTTTTGGACTGTCAGTTGGACAAAAAGATTTTTTTCTTGTATTTTATGACATTTTATAGTCAAAACAGTTAATACAGAAAATTTTAAAATTATTGACAATGAAAATAATCATTAGTTTGTATCCCAACACATTAATTAAATTAAATAAAATCATAAAGCAGATGAATGTCTCCCAGTTAGTGTGCATGCGTTGAGAGTGCATGCTGCCTGTTACAGTTGCTCCCGCCAAAAATCAATAAAGTATCTTTGATTCTGATTCTGATATTGCACATTGTTAGGAATACCCACAGTTCCTTTTTTATACTGATGCACTCTAAATTGTTATTGCTCATGTTGTCCTATGTGCCTCCAGTGTTCAGCCCCAGCTTCGTCAATATCCACATCAAACATCCTCCAGAAGCCTCTGTCCAGGTTCACCAGGTGTCTCAGCTGGATAATTACCACAACAACGGGCAACGGCTGAAAGGTTCCCAGCCAGGCTCCTCTTCATCCACCAGCTACAGCTACCACCACACAGAGAGCAGCCAGAAGATCCAGCACCACGGCTACAACGTTTATCCCAGCCAGCATGGCCACCAGGTCCCCCAGTACCAACCCGTCACCTCTAAGAACACACTGGGTCGCTGCTTCCAGGAGACCGCAGGGAGTCAGGTGCACTAATGTCTACTGTATATTAGCTCAGTAAAACTGATGGAACAAAGAGGATTTGTGTAGCTTGTATGAAATTAAATGCAACCTTGAATTTAGGGATGCACATAAATTTGTCCAATAATGGTATATTTATATTATTTTGTGTTACGCATATAATTAAATTACCGGTTGATATTAATAACTATTTATTTTTAATTCTTATGCAAAATATTTGATATACTTTATATTCTGTGAAAGCCAAAGTATGTTTGTTAAGTTTTTTTATGTACTTTCACTGTCCTTGGTAAACATTTGCAGGTAGCAGTAATCATATCATCCCTAATTGAATTTCAAAAGTTAGCTAATAATGTAAAAGAATCAATAAAGCCTCAATAGTCAGTAGTCCTGGAAAACCTGGAAATTGATTAAAATGACCAAATATCCTGACAATAGTCCATGTTGTCCCGGAAATTTGTATTCAGTCTGTTCTGTGGACTTAATGTTATGGTAAAAGGAAAACTGTAGTCAATCCAGAAAGCGTAAAAATCAGCTGTGGTTAGAACAGCCAAGTGTACAACAAAACTGAGCTAACACAGTGTCCCTTAAACAATGACCACCTAGGAGCAAGTGCTGTTCTGTATTGACAAGAAAAGGAAGGAGTGGGAACCCTGATAGTAAATATGTAAACTAGACTTGTGCCAAATCATATCAATCATGACAAAACCAGTATAAAGTGATTATAATCAGTTTAAAATCACACACATTAGTTCAAAATTAGATAAAAAATAAAACAACTTAAGTCATGTAGATGTTTTTTTTAAACATGAACCTTCAGAGATAAAGAGCAGACATAACAACACATCACATAATTCATCAACTACAGTTACCAGGAGACAAGTTTCATCAGGATCTGTTTTAGCACAGGTGACAAAAACTGATCTATAATGACATTTCATGTTTGGTAAATGGTAAATAGACCTGTACTAATATAGCGCCTTTCTAGTCTTCCGACCACTCAAAGCACTTTTACACTACATGCCACATTCGCCCTTTCACACACATTTACTCAGTGATGGCAAAGCCCATCGAACAGAAACTAACACATTCATACACATTCACAATTTGGGGTTCAGTATCTTGCTCAAGGATACTTCGACATGTGGCGGGAGGAGCCGGGGATCAAACCAACAACCTTTTGATTAGTGGATGACCCGCTCTGCCTCGAGGCCACAGCCGCCAGCATTGCAGGGCAATCAGGCCACTTGTCCCAACGTTGCAAATTACTGTACAAACAGAGGAGAGCAGACAGAGCTGCCAGTCAAACAGCAGGCTGAAGTTAGTTTGACAATCACCAGCTGTACACACGTTTTACCCAACATGGTCTGCTCTGAGTTGAAGTTAGTTTAAAGCAGGATCTGCTGACTTCTGTACACTACAGGTCTGTTTACATCAATGACTGATCAGATTAAAAGTCCAAAACCTGTTCAACTTAGATTAGTGCAACATTTAAAGCACAAACACTAAAATAGGCAGTAAAATTGACAAAGGTATGGTGCCACATCCAAGTCAAAGCATCTACCCTGGATACAAATAGGACAACCTCTGCTTATATATTTTCTCACTGCACAAATTCACCATGTTAAGTTTAAGTTCATAATCATGAGTCACTCTATCACAGGTCACATTATGCAGAGGAGCTGTTGCCATAAAGATAAGCGACTTAGTAAGGGAGGGCCGGATAGGAAAATAAATATTTGTTATCAGCATATGATTCATCTGATTGAAGGGGGGGTGAGGTGTTTGTGTGTGACACCTGGGGATCAGACATACAGAGGAAGCAGACATTATTTTATTTTTGATTAAAATATAACTAATAAATAATCCTCTTCCATCCCTTGCTCTCTGTCCCACTGTGTGTCATTGTACATATCTATGTTTCAGTGTGGGAAGGCTCTGCCAGGTCTAACTAAGCAGGAGCAGTGCTGTGGGACCATTGGGACATCCTGGGGTTTCCACAAATGCCAGAAATGTCCAAAGAAACCATGTAAGTACAGCTGTTCTTTCTCTGGCATTTTGTGAGTGTGTGTTGTCTTGTCAGGTAAGCAGCTCCTCCAACCGTAGTACACACAACATGCTAAATCTAATTTTTATTATATTAATCTGAGATACATAAGATGGAATGAGATGAGATGAGATGGGATAAGATGGGATGATCAAGATAGACTTGATTGATCCCATACTGGGGAAATGTTACAGCAACTCTAAATAAAACATTAACACAGTAGATAAAATAATGCAAATTAAATAAAAAATAGAATAGAAATAGAAAAATAAGAATTCACAGCAGGAGGTGGTGGCATATAGTAGATAATAATAAATAAATAGTAATAAATAAAATTGCACAGTACAAAAGGTATATACAGCAGTGTTATTAAAGGAACTAGAAAGCTTTCAACATATGTGTGTTTGTGTGTTCATGTGAGAGAACAAATAGACTGTTCAAAATGTAGCATTCACAGTTTGCAATATTAGAAATATTGTGAAAATTCTGCCTAGCAACCAGCTAATATAATCAGCACCAGCAAAATCAGCACTTTGTAAGTTTATCATCTGATCATAATTTAAGTGTGTTTACATATATGGTAAATGGTAAATGGACCTGTACTTGTATAGCGCCTTTCTAGTCTTCCGACCACTCAAAGCGCTTTTACACTACGTACCACATTCACCCTTTCACACACATTCACACAGTGATGGCAAAGTCCATCGAACAGAAACTAACATTAATAAACATTCACACACCGATGCACGGCATCGGGAGCAATTTGGGGTTCAGTATCTTGCTCAAGGATACTTCGACATGTGGCACCAGGAGCCAGGGATCGAACCCACAACCTTCCAATTAGGGAACGACCCGCTCTGCCTCTGCACCACAGCTATATGTATTTTACTAAGTGAACAAACCTCTAACAGAATCAGAAAACATTATAGGACCAGTGTGTGGGATTTAGTGGCATCAAGCGCTAAATGGCATATCTAGAGCCAATGTTTGGTTTTTCCATTCTGGGCTAGTGTAGAAACATGGTGATTCAACGTGGTGGACCCCGGAGAAAAGGACCGGCTCCTTCTGTAGACACAATGATTATTATTTTCAGTTGATTATACACTAATGTAAAAATACAAATGAATATTATATTCAATTTCTGACAATAGATCCTCCTAAATGTTTAAGCGAACCTTAAGACATAGTTGTTCGAAAAATGTAGTCTGCTTATTAAAAGACCAATCAGTCAGTTCAGATCAGTGATGCAGTGATGGGTTGAAATCTTGTGGTTGGAAGTAGGTGTATCATTATTTAAGTCTACCATGAAGAGAAGACTTCATGAGTGCAATTACAGAGGGTTCACCACAAGTTGCAAACCATTAATCAGCCTCAAAAATAGAAAGGCCAGATTAGACTTTGCCAAAAAACATCTAAAGAAGCCAGCCCAGTTCTGGAACAGCATTCTTATGGCATTTTTATAAAGTTCAACTACCTTTTCTCTGAGGTCCTTTAACAGTTCTTTTGCTTTCCCCATGACTCAGTATCCAGCAAATTCAGTATAGCCTTACATGAAACGTCCAGGGATCTCTCAAGAGCTAAGAAACTCATTGGCTTTTTATACACAGACACTAATTACGGTCAACAAGTCACAGGTGTGGAAACCTACCCACAATAGCCGTTTGTGTCAACGTGTCTGTATATTTTTAGGCAAGACATTCAAGGGTATGTAAACTTTTGATCAGGTATGTAAAATTTTGATTACGTGATTTTAGGTATCATTATGATTTAAAAAGAGCACACAAAATGATGTGATAATAAATGGCTTCATCTGACCACTTCATCATGATCAGTCATATTTTCTAAAAAGTGTATGTTGCTAGCACATAGTATATCTAATTACAGGAAATGAGAAGGTTGAGCGAGGTTCTCAACGAGACTTGCTCAGCTGTCCTTATTGGAGCAAAAAGGGGACAGACTTAATCAAGCATTCAGTTTATCTTTAAAACTGAACATAAACAATCAGTGCTATTATGTTAGCTATTTCTATGCTATGTCTATGCTATCTAACTACAGTGCCACTCTCACCTGTTCCAAAATTTCAAGGAATATCTCAGCAGGTCACTGTGGTACTGAGAACATGGCTGTATCAGATTTTCCAGCAGCCTCATCACCTATTATTTCCCACAAAATATCTTTGGGATCAGTGAGAGTTAGATCTTAACTGACAGTGTGCGGTTTCTTTGCACAGGTAAGGTGATATGAGGTTAAAATCACAGCCTCAGGGCTCAGTAAGGAATGTTCTGATCTGCTTTAAGTAATTTCACTGTTCACTGAGTGCTCTTATTTTGGAAGAATTCCACAGATTTATTTTGTTTGTGTATTTTTATTGCAAGTGACTTAACAGTCCTGATGGCCTAAAACACAGAGAAACTAAGATACTACTTTAAAGATAATTTATTATACAAATAAAACAACTGGCATACTGTTCTTTATTCTGTTCTGCTATTCTTTTTAGGATTGAGACTCACTGAGCTTGACTGCCTTTCATTCTTAGGAGTGAAAGGCAAGTGAGGTCAGGGTGAAATGTCCAGCTGTCTGCAAAACTAAAATATGTCTTTACACAGCTCAGTGAGTCTCAATCCTGAAAAGAATAGCCTAATACACAAACTATTGCAGCTGTATATAACCCCCAAAACATATATTGCTTACATTAGCCAAAGTGCTAAATAACTGTTGACATAAAACTGTAAGGGACTGTTGAATCATCAGTGCCAAACATGAGCAACAATGTCAGAAAATATCTGGTTCCTTGAGGAAATGTTAAAACTCCATAAAACATGAGGATAAAAGTGCTCGCCTCTCAAATTGAGTGTTTCTTCTTGTTCCTACAACTGAAAGCGTAAAGTTTCTCTGTGTTCATTGAAAATATTATTTTATGGGCACGGCCTACGAGGATGATTTGCGACAATACAAATAGTTTGGAAGTCAAACCTGTGTGATATAGAACCTTGAAGACACCAGTGCACATACACTGAGAATGGACTTCACAGTGAAGTAGGAGACATCTTGTGTCCAGCAGGAAAACTTTAGAAATGAACAACATGAGAATTTGTTTTTAATGAGGTACAAGGAGAAGTTGCCTTATCAGACACCCAAGCAGACAATTTTTTTGTCTTAATTAGTAAGCACAGTGATATAGGCATGTCATCAGTGTCAGCCAATTAAGACTTTAAAAGTAAAAATCGGCAATAAGATGACACTTGACACTGAATTATACAGTTAACTAGGCTAAATGCTTGATGCTGTGTCACCCAGCACGAGGGAGCACAAGCCAAAGATGGCGTCACTATGTCTGTGAGCACAAAGGAGGGATAAGTATGTCTGTCCTGTACAGGTCTTTTAAAGTTTCTGAAAAAGATAGCAAAGTTGCTATTTGCAATGATTGCTCAGTGTCGGTCCTTCAACACTACAAATTGAATTACCCATTATAAGCGCTGTCATCCCGATCTTTACGGCAAATTTGTGATAAGCGAAGAGAAACAGGCACCACCAAAAACACCGGTCAGCAGCATCTTCTCCAGTCCTTAAACAAAGTGTAACTGGGGCACCCCCAGGGCCAAAGGCATCAATAAGATTTGCATTGATCTGGAACACAAACTGTTTTTCTTCACCAAGAGGTCTGGATTTGAGGACTATATTGAGCCACACACTACATCTATTTTTTAATTCAATTATCGTAAAACTTCAATTAAAAGCAGGGTCCCAGCTAGATGCAGGTCTCGTCTGGTGTGGCTACCCGTTTTGACAAATAAACCCAGATCTCAATTAGAGGCCTAGTCTGGATTTTGAAAATGCTTTAGATGTATAAAACCTCTTAAAGCCCAAGAGGTCATCCACTTGGGCGAGTTCTAAGCTGCTTAGATCGCCTACACAAATATATATATTGAAACTATTGTCCATATGGACATGCTGCGTATTATTAGATCATTTAGATTTTCCACACAGCTGTGACATGTTCCGGCTCTGCTGCGGTCACCAAAGCTGATCACGCCCATTCTAGACAATACTAAAAATCCCACCAGAAGTGCCCCAGGAGCGCCTATCCACTGCGCATAGAATTTGTGGCTGGTCTATTTTTGATGAAAGATGCAACATATTTGTGTCAAGCAGCACAGAGCAGATTGCACTGTCAAACACAGGAACAGCACAGAGAAACAGTCAATTTTAGAAATAAAATACCTCCGGATTGAATTTCACTCTGAGGGAGTGTGACATCATTCTCTGCTCAGGACGACGTCAGTCCACTATATCTTTACATGGCCAATAGTTGTTTGCTGCTATATTAATAAATCATATATACAACCTTTAATCATGCAGTTTACACTCATAACAGACTAGTTATACTGGCATAGATTTATTTTTTTGGTAGGTCAGTAAAGGTTTGACAAGGTAAATTCCTGATATATTCTGTACATTATACATGTATACTCATTAGCCCACGTCTGATAAATACCATGAGAAGGAAAGTTCAGCCTTACTGTTCACATATTACAAAGCCAGAGGTTGGTCCTTCATTGTGCCATGGAGACACTGGTAGCTGGTAAATAAATTGGCGTTATCGATCAAACAAACATGGCCTTGTTGTTTCCCATTGAGCAAAGTATCAATCTGCTTTCAGGTATTTGGGTACTACCTACCCACTGGTACCTTTGTCCACTAATAGAGCAGGGCCCAGTCTGTAACCTGGAGCAGAGATTAAAAAGGGTTTGACTTCTCAATCTCTGGATTATTGTGAGCTACTGGCTGTCTGAGCAGCTTTTAGCCTTGTAGCCCTGAGCCTTTTCACTGTCTCATGTTAACTCTTCTTTATTCATCACAGTCTCTCCCTGTCAGTCATCCTGTCTTTATCTGTTCTCACAGGAAAGCCATGTTACAAACAGATGATGATCTCTTAGAATATGATGCATTACTGTACTTTAAACTGTATACAACAGTATATAAAGTAGTTCAGGTTAGCTCAACCTGAAACATCTATGGCATTAAAGTGCAACATACACATTAATGCAGCAGTGATATTAATTCCGAAAACATCAGATATGGTAGTACAACACTGACAGGGACTATTTTGCTGCACAGTGACTACTTTTACTGTTCATATTAAAAAGTACATTTTGCTGATCATACTTAAGTAAGTAAGCAGTAGGCAGCTGTTTTAAGTGAAAAGGCTCTAGAAAGTCACTGTGCACCAGCTGCTCAGCACCAGACAGCCGACAGACACAGACTAATTGGTGAGCATAGTGGAGCATTTAGCAGTTGAAGAGCTGATAGTAGTGTGTGGATGATAGGGTAATATAAGAATTCATGGCTAAGTTAAACCCGAAAACTGTTTGTAATGTATTTTTTTATGTTAAAATCTTCCTTAAATGTCTGAATGCAAGTACTAACATGTCCACATGCTCCCTTCTTCTTCTTTTATTATCTACATTCTCCTCTTATTAGCTATCCCTCTGATAGATTGTCCTTGGGGTTACAAGAGAATCAACAGCTCTCATTGTCAAGGTAAGAGTTTTTGATTTTGTTTCAGCAGCAACATCTGAACAACTATTAGGTCAATTGCCACAAAATGTGGTACAGACAGGTATGGTCTCCAGATTATAAAACATGTTAACTATGGTGGTCCGCTGACTTTTGCTTTAGTGCCCACCAGCAGGTCATATTTTTTGTAACATCTATTTGATCATAGTGACTTTGGTGATCCCTTGGCTTATATTTGTAGAAGCATAATACCAGTTGGGTGGCCGTCTGCCTGGGTTGGAGTTAGAGAGAGAGAGAGAGAGAGAGAGAGAGAGAGAGAGAGAGAGAGAGAGAGAGTAGGAGAGCACAGCACAGCACAGTCTGGTTCAGCACAGCACAGCATGGTCAGGTGCATTCAGCCTCTTGTCAATCAGCAGCTTCCATTTGCAACTCAGCACAGAGAAAACACAGAACAGTGCTACCCCAGACAAGAAGGCAGCAGTGCTGAATACTGCAATAGAAGCTTTGAAAGCCCAGTTCAGTAAAAATGTATTTCCTGTGATTAAATGAGCTCATGGCCTGGACACACTGCCCACATCTGCAGCGCGTATACGTCACAGAACTTCTTGTTTGATTTTGGTGGATGTAATGGTCTGTGGTGGGTCCTGTACTATTTACACTCTATATAAACAATATCGTCACTGAGCACAGACACATAATATCCATTTTTATGCTAATAACACACTCTTGTTTGCATTGCTTGCTCCATCTTGAAACAACTTGATGCAGTTAATCATTCATTACGGGAGATAAATATTGTAGTCGTGCACTATATGAAAAAGTAGGCTGGTTCACACTGGCAGCAAGAAGAGAACTACTCACTATCATTTCTATTTCTAAATGTGTCCTACAAAAGCTGCCTCAGTATATCAATTCTCTTTTTAATTTTAAACCAGTGCTCACCAGAGCAGATCTCAGGCCAGTGTCTGGCTGATTTCTTATATAACACTTGCGCATAAAAAAATATATTTTTAGTAAAATTTTGTGTTGAAAGTGTAGACGGAAGTAATTGAAAAAGTAATGCTAATTTCAGACTTCCTGTGTTATTCTGGGAAGACTGTAAACTGTGTGACTTAAGTTTTTTGACTTTCTGTAGCTGCAGCCACCCTCTCACATCCACTAGCCATGGCAGCAAAATGCTCTGCTTTGCATCAGCTTTATTTTAGCTTGTAGCGATCCATTAGAATATGCTGGGTCATGCTTGGGACAACCCTGCTCTTTGAAGGTCTTTTTGAAATAACATTTGCCAAGGTGCACAATATTCAAATTGTTGTTTAATAAAAGAAAATGATTAATGTTAATGTTTAGAAAATAATTCTGTCTCCAATTTTGCGGTAATAAAGTTCCAGTGTGTAACATTTATGAAGATCTATTGTCAGAAATGGAATATAATATTCATAGGTATGTTTTCATTAGTGTATAATCATCTGAAAATAAGAATTGTGGTGTGCCACAATCATACACACTGGTCCTTTAAGAAATCCTTGAACCTGGATTGATTGTGTTTTTCGTTATTTGTTGATTCACAGATTTAGATGAATGCCAGTTACAGGGTGTGTGTCCAAATGGAAACTGTCTGAACACCGTGGGCAGCTACAGGTGCATGTGTAAACCCGGCTATGTCCCTGACCCCACACTCACCACATGCATATGTAAGTCCTAAAGTGTAACGTTGTCTATCACAGATTCTTTGTGTCATTAATTTCTCATTGATTATCGTCTAAACCCAGAACACCCAACAGTGCAAGACTGAAAAATCTTATAATATGTTTCAATATTTCCCTGTGCCACCTGTTCCAAAGTACAAGCATAGCAAAGGCTGCCAGGAATGCTGCTAAAGCGAGTGTGTGTTTTGATGATATGCATATGAATACAGTGCATGGATTTAAGCGTGCTGTATTGTATAATCAGATGCCCCCTCAAGCATGTACCTCAAGGCACGACACATCAGGCAAGGTGTGGTATGTGATATGTTGGCCAAACCCAAGAGAAGAGGAGGGAAGAGAGAAAGAGATAAAGGAGAGAATGTGGGGAGCAGGGAGATGCAAGAGTGTCAAAGTGGTCAATCTTGAACAAAACTGATCAGTAGTGCTAATCATCAATTTCCCTTTGTTGTGACATGCTGTGCATGTGTTCCCCTGGTTTCAAGGTGCTTCAAGTTCCAGTGTGTGTACATGTGTTTGTGTTTGTGTGTGTCAGGGAGAGAGATAAAATATATAGAGGATTGTGGTTCTCTTTTCTCATCGTTATTGAAAACCAAGTGTCCATTCATCACCATCACTGTTTAATCCAAAGGGCTCAGCTGAGGAGATTGCTGACTTCTAGCAGCTGTGCAAATGCACATACTTCAAGGACATGGCTCACCTGCGATTGAAAACTCAAGTGATTTACTTGTATCTTTTATTGTATCGTTACATGTGATCAAGTGTCACTGCCTGTGTTTGGCAGTAACTCATTACAAGTAATAATATTACTTTCCCCAGTAACTAGTAGTGTAACTAAGTACTAATAAATTGCAGTAATAATACTACAGTTAAAAATGTAAGAACTATTAAATCCGCAAATCATTTGTTCTTTTCCTATTCGATATATATTTCAAAATCAGTTATTTTGTTATTTATTTATGAATCCAACACAAAAAAATTATAACGGCTTATTTTTTGTTACTTTCGATTTTATGCTCAAATCAAAAACAGGAAATGGAAAAAGATTTGATTTTGATTTGATAGTCCAATGTGTTATGCCTAACTTAAAAAATAAAAAATGCACTTGGCTGATGGTGCTCACTGATTGTAATGAATATGAACATCAATATAAGTATTTTGTAAAATGTCACATTTAAGTGTTCACTTGTGTGAACAGATCAACAAGAAAAAGGAAGTATAATGTTGACATGGATACAGTGAGTTAGACTGTGGACAGAAACGTGAGCCCCGTTTTTTCAATTATTAACAGTTAATTTTTGCTGTGTACCAATCGATGTACTGATGAATATTGCTGAATTACTTTTGTACTGAAAAAATCTTAAAAAACTGAAAATTTTGCTTCTGAAGTTCTGAAGCATTTCTATTCTTGTCCCGGTACACACATACAGTGAGTTACACTGTGTGCGTCAAATTGAGCCTCCAGTGTCAACTTAATCTGAGGTTTTGCGTGTTTGCATAAGAGGGCTGTGATTGGCAGCGCAGGAAGAGTTTTTCATAATGGCTCATGCTCTGTATGTGCTCCCGGTAGAATGTACAATGGTAATATCAGGATATTAGGAGTTAAAAGAAAAATGAATGGCTCTTATTAATAGCCTACTACAGTGAGATGAAAAGGAGGCTTGTTGGCAGTGCATTGTCGACAGAGTAAATTCATAAGTAACATTACAGTACTTGTGTCATAGCTTCTCTAGTTTAATCTTACGGACTTTAGTTGTGATATGATTTAATACGACTGCTGTAAATTTTTAAGATTGAAGTGGTAAAAACATTTCCAAAATTTACCCGTTAAGGGATTAAAGCAAGAAAGTCAGCATGAAAAGTTATCTGGGAGGAAATGTGTACAATGCATTGAATTAAGTATTATATGAATTTAAAACTGTCTATGCCTGAAATTAGGCATGGGACCTGAGAATATTAAATCCTGAATTAAGGTTTGCTCCCTCAAGCACCAAGGCTGAAGGGTCACCTGTATGATTGTGATGCTACTGTGTTAGAATAACAATAGCAACAATAACAATCATTTTAGCTGCAACCCTAGTGGAAAGAACACCTAATCCGTGCTCTAATGAGGATATTCAGTAATACAGTACGGTCGCACCAATCACTGTCTGAGTGCCTATGGAAATAAGTGTTCTGTATATAGGCTTAGCCTATGCGTGTTAAAAAGTATTTTTATATTGTGATTTACCTGCAATCACATAAAAAGCCTCTCTGAATTTTATGATGAATAACTGGGGACATAAAATGCATTCTAGTTTCTTCACAAGATTGGGAGTGGGGGAAAGGAGCTTCATAGGGATACATTGGGTAACAATAAAGATAACCTGCAAAGAGCAGATTAGAGATGGAGCATAAATTGCCATGACAGCATACCTCAGGTAAAACGTATCCACCTTTTGTAGTACGGTTAATCAGGAAGTTACACCTGATGTTACAGTTACTCCTGAAGGTACCTGAATAAGCCTCGCTTTGTAGTACAGCCCTCAGGAATCCTTCAACATGTCAATAAGGTAAACAACTCCTTTTTAACTTGGGTCCTGTGGAAAACCTTTCTTGCTGGGGCAGCACTACTTAAAAGTCCAGTGTGTAACATTTAGGACATTTTTTTTTTAGCAGAAATGGAATATGGCACTTTGTTTGGAGCCTAATAAGGTAGTTTTGTGGTCTATATATTAGTTTTTTCCCCATTTACCTAAATCCTGTTAAGACATTGCTGTAACCACCATGTTGTTTCTTGAATGTAGTGCACAGAATTAAGACCAAATTGTAAAAAATGTCTCATCAAACCACAAAACAGATGACCTATTACACTGAAGAGTATCAGTGTTTTCAGACTTCTTTTATTTCACAATAACAGAGTTTACTTTGCCCCTGTGAACTTTAAATGAAGTTTTTTTTATACTTTTCTCTAGCACTTTGCCCTGAAACAATTCCTTTCCGTAGGTCTCAGTTTGTTTGACTTTGTTTGTTGATCCAACATCTGTGATTGAAAAAGAGCAGAGGAGCAGAATCACTTGTTGACAGGTGCAAAGAAATGTGTTTCTGATGTGAAAAGCCAGGCTTGTTGGTGCCTACTTATTTTCAAAGAGCAACAGCCAATGGGTATAAGTGATACTTATAAGTAGTAAGTGGAAATGGAAGTATGATAAATGTTAATAGCGCATGTCTTCAGTAGTGCATGAAGCATTGGCACGAAATCTGATGTTTTTCCTATACTATGTTGCTGTGATTTGTTGTGTTCAAATTGTGTTTGGCTTTAATTGTTTAAACATAGTTGTTTGTGTGTACCACCACAAAATGTGGTTATCCAACTTGTATTTTTCTTTATGCACAAGAGTTTTAATAGACATGTTTAGGCTGTGTTTGTGGCAGAAGTTTGTTCAGGTGGGAAGGGAAGGTTGCTTTGGTGAAGGGGACCTCTTTATTTCTCCTCTTTCTGTCCTCTCTTTCCCCCATGTATGTGTCTCCTACACTCTGGCGCACCATTTCGTATGCCCCCCTCCTCCTACTCCTCTTTGTCCTCCTCCTGCGCTCCTCTTCAGCCAACACGCCTGCCATCCAAGAGGAGAAGGGGGCTTGCTTCCGTTTGGTCAGCTCAGGAAGGCAGTGTTTGCACCCAATGTCTGCCCAGCTGAGCAAACAGCTCTGCTGCTGCAGTGTGGGCAAAGCCTGGGGCCCTCGTTGTGACAAATGCCCCCCTCCAGGAACAGGTAAGCCAGCCCCTAGCAGACATTTATCCAGTCTAAATGAGAACTAAAGGCCCAAAACTTTCTTTTCTCAATTGTATGAAGAGAACAACATGCCAAACACCATTCAACAATCATGCGGTTTCATGAAGCCTTGCAAATCAATAAAGGTTTGTGTCAACACAACAAGGCATTCAGTTCTGCTCAGCAGGCTAGTGTCCTGCGAGCCACAAGAGTAAAGGAACTGAGAGTGTGACGGCAGGCTAGCAGCTTCAGAGATGACAATGTCTGTCATGCTTTCGTTGGTCCTCCACTTTGATCTAGACTGAAATGTCTCAGCAGTTATGGGGTGAGTTGCCATAAAAACTAAAAAATTTTACTACAAAATTCTGAAATTTAGAAATATGTCAGCTTCTACTAGATGGATTAGCACGACATATTGTACATATATTGTATCCTAAGGACTTGGTGATCCCCTGACTTTTCATCTAGTTTCACAACAGATTGAGATTTTGAGTAAAATATTTTGATTTTGAACTATTTTATGTATAGTTCAAAGTTTTGCGCAGACATTCATGTCACCTTCAGAATGAATACTAATAACTTTGGTGATTTTAATTTGTCCAATACTTGGGTTTATGACCAAATACCTGCAAGACATTCCCATCAGCGTCTGCTGTACTTTGTTTTTAGTGCTATATAGAAAATATTAGCATGCTAACACGATAAACTAAGACGATGAAAATGGGAAAAGTTACCTGTTAAACATCAGGATGTTGGCATTGTCATCATGAGAGTGTTAGAGCAGTGACGTTATTAATTAGCTCAAAGCACTGCTGTGCCAAAGCACAGCCTCACAGTGCTCCAGGATGACCGTGGACTCTAAGACTATAAGCTTACCTGGTTCACACCACAGCCATTCACAATGTATTTTGATGTGAGATTTGCTTCATTTCTGTGAAGAAAACTTGTTATTAAGTTCCGGTTATTTAAATCAAGTGTTTTTTGATGAAGAGATAGTTACTGTATAATTGTATGGAAGATCTGAAAAGGAATTACAGTCTGTTACATGTTATCACATTTATTGATAAGCAAGGCCCTGTTAAATTGCTATTTTTGTGAATGATTTGTGGTGTGATAATTCTTTCATATGGAAAATGTTTTATGCTCTTATAACTAATGACAGAATCTGTCATTAAATATTCTCCTAACAGTTCTCTAAGCAGTGTTTTTTAAATTGAATGTGAATTTGATTATATTTATAGAAAGGCAAAATATGGAAGAGTTACCCCTCAGAATTAAGAGAAGGGTTTCCCCATAGAACTTCTCTCAGAATTCGCAACTTCTTTAAAAGTCAGGTTGAAGTATCCATGAAAAGAACTGCTAAACTTTTAGTCTAACAGAATTTCAACTAAAACAGTATTATGTAATAATAAACATTGAAACACTGAAGTAGAAAAAATCATCAGCTTTGTAAAAGTATGCACATTTATTAAGAACGAGAGCCCTCTTAGTGAAATTCATTTAATTACTGTATTGTATTAAAAAGTCTGATTTATATTAAACTAAATATATAATGTGTTAATACAGTACATCTTTCTAGCAAAGCCTTTCTAGCGAACAAAAAACATTTCAGTTTCCAGAACTATTTATTACAATAACTTTAGGATTAAGGACTTGAATAAAAGACAGGAAATTATAAAAAAGAAAAGAAAACAACAAGATCCTATTTGTGTCTCATTCTTTTATCCCAGATACTTTATGTCTGCATGGGTTTTACAGCTTGGCTAAGTAGTGGCTTTTATAGTTGCTTTTTGATTCCATTAGCAAAGTATTTTGCATTAGCTGTTATCACACCCACTTTTGCTACTTTCCTGTTTATCTTTATTGTATTTCCACACCACTCATTATGTCAGTACATGTTGGTCAAGTTTCTTTCAGGCAGTTTTGTGTATTGTAAATTGTTTGTTTGTGGCAGGCACGTGACCTTTAAACCTCATGATTTGTGTATAATATGTTTCATGGCAATGCTCCTTTGGGTTTAGGTGGAATATAAAATATAAAGTAGACTACAGACTTAAACTGCTAATGCATTATGCATTTTCAGGAACAAAGACTTCCAGATCATCAAATCACCCCCTGAATTACACCAGGGTATCTAATTATAGCCAATTAGATAGTTTTCAAGTAATGTGCATCTCAGAGTTGGTAATTAGAATTGTGTAATGCTCTTTCTATCCTTGAACCTTTACTTCCTTTACCATTGTTAACAATGTCTATCTATCTATCTATCTATCTATCCATCTATCCATCTATCCATCTATCCATCTATCCATCCATCCATCCATCCATCCATCCATCCATCCATCCGCTTCGTGCCTCTCCTGACCTGTCCTGGACAATGAATGAAAATAATCGACCACAAAAATGTTGCCCAATCCTATTGTTAAGTTGCTCTTTGATGGACACATACCTATGGCTGCTACACTGTAAAAGCCATTCAGGGCATGTGTGTTAGCAGAAGAAACGGTGTGGGTGCTTCTTCTTCTACAATCTATAGGGGGAGTTATAACAATGTCAGTTCCTGAGGAACTGGGTGGGTGAATCATATCTATTTATGAACATGAACAAATTGGGAAAGAGGACATTGGCACATACAGTTTTTAAGGCACCACCTGAGAGATGTGTTTACTTTCACACCAGTGTAAAACAGCTTCAGGCACATACTCTACCAGGAGGTGTTCTGCTAGCCACTTAATGCAAAATCTTCTACTTTTATTTTTACTTTGAAACTGGATCCTCACTCATAAGTAAACTCACTTATATTATTAGTCAGTATAAGCACAAATATCAGTATCGGTACATCCTGTAAATCAGAAATGCCAAAGATAGTCAAGATTTTTCTCCCACAGAACCTGTTTACGCCTAGTATTAACATGCATATTGTATTTTAAGTACGTCAATTTACACCTCCAGATGCGTCTCCAGTGACCACTTGTGATCAGATCTCACTTACCGCTCTATATGCAAAATAAACACTTTTATAGGGCTGTACCCTTTTGTTGTCAGTGTTCATTATTACTATCCTTTTTATTAGTTCAACCCTGTCCTTTTGATTATGATGTCAGCAGCCTTGCAGAACAGACGCTCTTTGGTGCATTGTGGGATTTTATAACTTCATAAGCAGGACACACAGTTTTACTGTCCCTGAATGTGTGGAAATCAGATTTTTTCACATCACAGATGAACATTAATGCCAGAGAAAGTAAGAGAGCAGCGTAGAGGAGGTTGTTCCACTGTCTAGCCAATACGCTGGGAAATATTAATTACTTAATGTGTAACATGTCCTGAATTTACAAGTTTATCCCGCTCAATAAGTCTTAAAATTGTGAAATATTTTTAAGGGAGTCTGGGTATAAAGCAGTTAGTAGTTCAGTGGTCAGATTAGTTGAAACAGAAGTATTCACAAACATCAGAGAGCTCAAATGCGGCCCAATTAGACAGCATGTTTCTGTGAATTTACAGGACGTCAGTAGAGGAGGCAGTCCTTCAATGTGGCCCAGGACACATTAGTTTTTACACTACAAAAGATATGTGGTCAAATGCATCACAGACCACATCAGTAAGTGGTTTGAGTGATCAGATCACAATGTGTCTTGGCGGTCGTTTACACCCTTTAATTGTCCATTTGTGATCAGATCACCCAGGATGCATGTTAATACAAAGTGTAAACATGTTTAAATTGGAGCTAAGGGACACAGGCTTGAACATATTACATACTGAATGTAATACTGAAGTTGATGTACCTCCAAATTAAGCTAAAATAATTAATTATTGCTAAATCAATAGAAACAGAGGTTTCTGAAGGACATCAAAAACAGAGGAAAATCGGGAACCTAGATAGCTCACTTGGTATAGCTGGTGCCCCATGTACCAAGGCCAATCCCGGCTTTGCGCTCAACTCTGATTTGTGGCCCTTTGCTGTGTGTCATCCCCTGTCTCTCCTGTCACTCTTGGGCTGCATTATCAACTAAAAAAGGCAATACAAAAAACCCAAAATATATTTAATACGAAAATAATCAATATAGGTTGATTTTATGTTACTAAACCCTTGTTGTTATCCACATCACATCCCCATGATGTCTCAATCAGTGGTTATAGAGCAATGGAATACATCAGAGGGGTTTATGGGCAACCCTGCTGAATGAATGTTCAATGTGAATCCTTTTAAATAAACAACAAACTGAAATGGAAACTTGATCTGCCACACTTGTCTTTAACACTCAGTGTCCCTCAGTTATTTTAGGCTTAACAAATATGGTGCAGCTAAAGTTTGAGGGAAGATTAATTAAAATGATGAGTGCACTTATGGACTGTGTGTTCACCTATGTGTCTATCAGGAATTTTGTGAGGAATTAATTTAGCTACTGAGATAAGTTGCACAATTTGAACATTGTTTCTGTCATGTTGTGTTGTATCTACCTTAAACCACATTTGGAGCCGGTAAGTGATAATATTCAGAGAACAATACGAGAAAGAGGTTTTGCTCTTGTACCTATAACTAATATGACTGTTTACTAGCTAAAATTAACATTGTCAGAACACTTGTGAAAACTGTTGCGCCAGAAGTCTTTATAATAGACAGTGTTAAGTAATTAACAGTGTACAACTGAAAAGAATGATTTTTTTGCACTTCTTATATTCACTTGTATGATATGCATTTTTTTTCCTTCTTACATAGCTAAGTTCAAAGAGATCTGTCCCGGTGGAATGGGCTACACTGTTATACCAAATCCACCTGTCAATAAGCCAGTCACTGTTTACCAGGAGCCCATTGACCTGCTACCACCGCAACCCCTGCCAACACCAGAGAGACCAGTGGAAGCTTTTGGGAAACCAGAAGAGATTTTACCAGGTATGTCTCTGGTGCATGTTCAGTTGTGTTTTTTTGGGGGGGATATGTTTAGAACAGGTAAAACCTATTTTAGCATGAACTAGATACTTGATGCACATCATCGGGCTTCAGTTGCTTGCTCAAGGACACTTCGATATGCAGCAGAAGGAGCTGGGGATCAAACTGCCAACCTTACTTGATTACTTGATTATTGGACAACCTACTCAGCCACAGCCGGCCTCTTAGTTAAGGATTGATGTAGATTAGCTAGCTACTTAGGTAGCATTTGGCTAACTTAAGATGTGACTATATGTCCATGTCCTTTTCAACATGGAAAAGCCTAGCATATAGCATATCTAGGTACAGGAAAGGAGACAGCTGCAAGGTTCATTTGAATTTCTGTCTGGGGGAATGTAAACAGCAGCAACAAGATAATGATGATAATATGGTTTCATCTTCACTTAAAAAGAAACAGTGTCCATCTGCTTTGACTGTGTTTGAGCACCAAGCATCATCGATGTAAACACTCTCTGTGGCCTTGGAACATGGCCCACCTATCAAGGATGTTGAGCCCAGCATGGCTCCTATTTGGTTCTCTTCCTCTCCTCTTGGGGCACAGTCCGGCCAATCTGGTTGGGTGGGTCATCTCAAGGTCATCTCAAGATCTGCTGCTAGCCGAAAACAAATTAAAACAAAAACAGAGAAGTTTGAAGGAGCTAGCCAACCGGCTGCAGCATCTGAATATGTAGCCATTTCCATAGTCAAAATCTCCTGAATCCAGTCAATCTGAACAATTTTGGTTTAGCACTTTAAAATCAGGCTCAATCAGAGATCATTCAATGATGTTTCAGCAATAAAGCAGAATATTTTTTACAGTAACAGATTAAAACAAAAATGTAGCAAGTTACATTGATTAATCAATCAACCAATTGCTTCAGCAGCAGTTTCCATTGTGGGGCTCATTCAGGTGATTGGATAGAGTCAAGCCAGTGCTTTAGCCATTCATATGGTTGCTAGCATGAGACATACATATGTTCATCATGGGGCGGCACCATCACCTTTCAACTGGACATCAACTTGCCACTTTAAGTGGAAAGCCACATTACTAAACTCAGTGTATTTTCAAATAAATACATTTTTTTGGAAAGATTGCTTTGAGGCAATGTAATACTTTTTTGTGCTTTTCTTTAATGAACGCAACAAAAAAAAACAAGCATTGTAACAAATTATTCCACCTCTCTGTTTGAAGTGTCCCAGTGAAATATGTCTACACTGTTGAATGAACAGCAGTCTCACTTTTACAGCTCCAAAGTAACACTAGAAACTCTACTTATGATCCTTGATTAGGAACTCAAATCTTCAAAGAAACCATATGACATTTGTTTGTAGAAGACAAGGATTAAAGTGCTTTGGCTCATTTTACATTCCCCTCAAACATAGGCCAGCCCAGAGCCCTTTAGAAGAGGGAGAGAGAAGGAGAGATGAACCTGGCTGAGAGAGGTAGCTTCACCCTCTCCTGTTATTATGCAGGACATGCTTGGCAGCCACCAAGGGAAAGAGAAACTTTGCAACCTCTTAGCCAAAGCCAGACTTTGAGTCAAAATCACTACTAAGCTTCTCTGGAGCAGAGGAATACAGAGTTTTCCAGGCACACAGGACAGCCTCAATTAACAATCGGACAGAAATCTAAAACCTAAAACCTCTGTAGATTAGTGTTTTGATACTACCAGATAATAGTGTGGCGCCTGGCAGCTGTACAAATTGGCATTTTGACACAGCAGAAAGCCGTGCTGGGTGGGAGGAAGAGAGAAGATTTTTTTAATCCCTGTTACATTATAGACCTAAGAATGTGGTCTGCAATGTTTATGACATTTTCACAACATGGAAACTTGGGCCATTCTCATAGGGCAGCTAGTAAAAGGATTGCTTAAAAGACCAGTGTGTAGGAGTTAGTCGCATCTAGCAGTGTAGTTGCCTCCACCTGCCCTTCCAGTTTCTGTTCTGTTCTAGCCTTTCCACAACATGCCATTAGAAAATCGAATGTTTCCAGTTTATTCGTTCCAACTAGCTGAAGCTAATTTAGTCCTTCTATAAATCGTGCATTCATGAAGGTTATAATATTCAGTTTTTTATTAAAACAGTTTTAGAGAGGAGGTTTTAGAAGAAGGAATAGGGGGAGTTTTTTGTGATAGTGTTGAATTATAGGCTGAAAGGGGGTTTATTTTTTTCAGCCCACCCTCATTGATATAAATGGGGTCAACAAATAATGGAGACACCTGTACTAACCTTGAAACCCAAATACCCAAGATAGTTACATACAGTACATTATATACATTATATTTGTATTACAAACTTACATTTCAAATGTTTTTTTTTTCTGCGGTCAGTAGCAACAACTGCACCAGATCAGGTAGGTTGGGTGCTTTAAAGAGTTAAAATGTAGAAGCAGTTTGCATGTACAGAGACTGGCTCTGCCGCATAGGAGTTGCAGAATCACCTTTGCATGAAGTCAGCAATGTTGCTGCATGACTTTGAGCTAATCAGTACAGAGCAGTGAGTCTATGTGTAAATCTTCAACGTGTAAGCTATATGTACTGTATGCATAAGTATAGGTGAAAATCCTTGACATTGTCCCCCAAAAAAGACAGAAGTCAGATGTTACAGGCATTGTTTTGCTTTCTAGCTTGGTTGCTGAGCTGTACATTTTTGCTCTGTATTTAAACTGCAGTCAGTTGCCATGCTGCAAGCTGAATGCTAATCTGTTTCTAAACACAACATCTGTATTGCATGACAGAAGCAGTGTGCAAAGCTGGCACTGAAATATACATTTGGACTGAAAGAAAATGCATACGTCGCTCTGTTGACCTTGTTCCTTTGTATTACTGTCTGTGTGTTTTGTTGTTAAAGGAGCTGGTAGTTCCTGGGGTTAGTAATAGTCCAGTAGTTGAACCTATCCTGCCCCAGCTATCTCCGGGTGTATCCACTGTCAAGATCGAGGCAGCCTACCCAGGTGTCTGCTTCACTACCCTTTAAACTTTGTGGTATGATGGACAGTTTGGGACGTCACTGCTTGTCAAGCTCAGAGCACTTTGTCAGCCTCAACTGTACTGCAGGTTCACTATAGTCTGTCAAGTCCAGCTGTGCTGTAATGCTAATGTTAATATGCTATTACTGCCATAATTGATCATTTTAACAAGAACGTGTGAATAACAAATGCTAATATTGAGCTGAAACAAAAGCTAAGTGTGAGGAAGTACAGCTGACAAGATGAATCTGATGTCCTAAAAAGGCCACCGTACTGTGACCTTTTTTACACTGATATTAGAAGAAGGGCTGCTCAATATGGTGACAGCAATTTAATATTTTTACAGAATTGTTACTCTTTACTGGAAAAAAATGATGATGATGTGACATTTGTTGGAGTCTGTACCAAACAAACATGTTTCTTTACATCTGGAGAACATGTAGGCCATGGCATTTCTGCAGCACCTCAGTACTTCATTATATGCAGTTTGTCACACATTTTTACCTTTATCAAACACGTTACAGCTTCTGCGATTTGCATATTGCACTCGGCCATATTGCAGTTATGATAATATTTCAATTAATTGTGCTGGCCTAATTAGCTAGATATTTATATATTATATTAATATACTCATTCAGTAATTAATTTCTTGATTTATTTATGCTATTTGTATATCTTCTTGTATTGTTTTATCATTTCATGTCACAACCATGCTTTCAGAACAGTAGAGCTCCTACCCAGATGGAGTTGCTGAGTTTCCTGGAGGTTCTGTGATGAGTTTACAAAACTCTACACATATGGGGTGTATAGGATTGTTAATTATCAGGCATATCAGCAAAAAACTAATACTAAACTTTCCAAATAAGAGAATGTGTCCAATGTACGTATGTTCATAATGCTATCTTTTCTTAAACGTCATCCTGAAAATACTCATTGGGAAATTAAGATGTAGAAACTGATAATCGGTAGACTGAATGTTTATAGAACCATGTTGAGGTGAATGCTTGGCTGAGAGTATAGTACCTGATTCGAAATAGTGCTTAGGTATGCTTTTGCATTCAAATTATAATCAGATGGAATTAAAACTCTAATTTGTGCCAAAAACCCACTCCATATACTGCTAGTCCAAAACCACAGGCCTGTCTCAGAAAGCTACTTGAAACCTTGCATTCTTACTGTTGATGCCAAAATCTAACCCTCTCATCAGCATGTCTGACAGCATTACTCTTACCTTATAGGGTTGGTACCTTCTATGTTCTAGTTCAACTGCTTACAGGTTTAACAACCTGAATATTCAGCATTGTCCGTCAATATAAATGTACTTTTGTTTAAATACCTGTAGCCTTCCGGTTAGCTCTAAGGTCTGGGAGTCTGGTTGTTCTCTTATGATCTCTGTCATTATCAGTTTTCTTTCACAAAACTGCTGCTGATGGAAGGATTTTGCCATGCTCCCAGCAAAGCCTAATAATGGAAAAATTCAGATTTGTATACAGAGCAAGATGTCTCAACTACTTCTGGCTAGATTGCCACAAAATTTGGCAAGGGTGTTAAAAGTTCTCAGAGTATGACACTGATAGATTTTTGTGATTCCCCTGACTTTTCATTCAGCACATTTAATTTAAAAAAATGGCATCACCAGTCCTACTGAAAAAGTCACATTGGCAGTAAGAACTGATCATCATAGTGGGAGGGAAAATGCAACAGCTAGGTAGTCTGTACAAGAGATAAACAGGCTGTATTTTGTATGTTTATGGAGAATATAAGATGCAGAAACATAATTGAAAATACTTTGACTCTTGTGTAAAAGTAACGAGATGAAAGCATGACATTTTTTTAAATAAATCCAAACTACACAATTCCATTAGACCTCTACTTTTTTTATAAAAAGTAATGAGAGAAAAATCACTTACTTTTTCCAAGGCAGGTTTTAAGAGAAGGTAAGCTGCCAATATAATTATGGTGTAATGGTTAAATACAGCTGGGTATTGTCTGCATAACTGAAAATGTTAAGTGTGGTTTATTTAAAGCAAAAATACAGATGGCAAGACTCGTAAACTACTTTTTGAGATTTAATAGGTCATCGAAGTACCATCTTTGGTGAATATGTTGAATGGATAAAATATTAATGGAATTAATGTGTATTACTTTGTGTTTTTTGATTTGGTAGAGGTAGTTGAGAGGAGCTCTCCACCTGCACCAGTGGAGATTCTCCCCTCTAATGCCGGCCAGGACATCGCTCCCACCCAGTTAGCAGGTAAGACTAAAACACTAAAAAATGTCTTCTTTTTTTTCTGTTGTGTTTCTTGTCTTAGCTCTTTGTGCTAAACTACATTAAATGCCAAGCAAGAGGAAAAGCGAGGCAAAGGAGTTATGCAGAAGGAAGGTGGAGCAGAAGTTGCAAGACAACCACATGAGGGAGGTCTGGGACGGTATGAAAACCATTACAGGCTACAAAAGCCAGCTCTATTTTATGAGGAGGCTGGGGTCCTTTAACATCTGCAGGAAACTAAATGGCTTTGCGGTAGGCACAGTTCTGGATTTCACTTATGTCAGTGGCAGAGAGAAGGGCCATAAATAAACTGTTTTCCATCATATGTATCTGTCCATCTGTCCGTCCGTCTGTCTGTCAGAGATACCTATCTCTGTTCTGGACATAGAAAGATTATCTTGAGCGCAACAGTTTATTAGAACTGAAGAAGAACTATAGCATGCACAGTGTCAAGAGGACAAAAGTATTCATTTAAAAGATTATCTTCTTAAGTTGCGGTGAAGAAATCTTTAATTAAGAAAGACAAGGCAGCTTGGCTCTATTGTCAAATGTCAATATACACCGATCAGCCATAACATTATAACCACTGACAGGTGAAGTGAATAACACTGATATTTCTTATCTGGTTATCATGGCACCTGTCAGTGGGTGGGATATATTAGGCAGCAAGTGAACATTTTGTCCTCAAAATTGATATGTTAGAAGCAGGAAAAATGGGCAAGCTCTTGTGGTGATCAGTACCTATAAAAAGTGGGCCATGGAAGGAAAAGCACTGAACCGGAGACGGGGTCATTGATGCACGTGGGGAGCATATGCTGGCCCGTGTGTCTGATCCAACAGACAAGCTACTGTAGCTCAAACTGCTGAAAAAGTTCATGCTGGTTCTGGTTCTGATATATGTACATAAGCAATAAGTGAAACTAGTGAATCATACGAATTTAATTTCATTGTGCATTGCATCCACCCTTCCTGCAGTGGCCATTATTTTAAGCTGTTAACTAACAATAACAATAATGATAACAACAATAATTAATGGTATGTTGGACTTCCTTGTAGGTCTTTATAGTGTTTTGTGGGACCCACAGTTTTAAAACTTTGCTTGTTTTAATATCCAACCCCCCCCCTCCCCCTTCTCTCTCTTTTGGCCCAGAGGTGGATGAGTGCCTGATCAGCCCTGGTATTTGTGGCCAGGGGATTTGTTACAACACAGCTGAGGGATACACCTGCCACTGTGATGAGGGATATCGCCTAGATGATGCCCAGACTACCTGTGTAGGTGAGGACTTCCGTGGTCAAATTCAGTTATTGAGGTCAAAGATCATCTTGTGTATAACTATGTCAGCAGGTTGGCCTAACAAGCTTGGTACAGTGGGAGCATAGCAAAGTGATTTTTACACATGCAGAATAAGTGTTCTCTCTCATGCTTAGATAATAGCCTATCCTACAACCAAGTTGTGTTCAGATACGACAGATATCTGAAAGGAATCTTAGTCTGCGGTCAAAATTGTAAGCCTTGTGACAAATTGCCAACCTGTCTGGGTGTACCCCTCCTCTGGCCCAATATGAGCTGGGAGAGGCTTTATCCCCTGCACATGATAAGTATGTATAGATAATGGCTGGCCACAGTAAAAACTTGTGTATGACATGAAACCCACTGGCCTAAAAGACTTTAAATATTAAAAAAAGAATGACTCTATAATGATAATGATTTATAATTATTTTTCTGATAATCTCAAACACCCTGAAATCAGAATTTCATGAATAAGGTCCAATAATGTTGGGAAAGTATCAGATCCATAAATTGTTTTTATACCATTATTGTGTGCAGGGAGCCAACAGGAAGCCAGCTCAGCCAGACAGAATGTAGTGAACTCTGTAAACATCAAAATTTTAAAGATTGTGACTATCATCCTATCAGATTCTCTCTAACTGCTTTTCTGTCACACTCCGACTGTCACTATCAAATAAAGGCAATAAAAGGCCAAAAAATTATCTTTAAAAACAAGCGACCCTCAAACAAAGCCCTAGGATACCAAAAGATGAACCAGGAAAAGAGTCCTCTCAGCCAACTGGCCGTGAGACTCAGTTCCCTAACTTCCAACTACCAACCCTACAGAGCCTCAGAAAAACCCACAAACATAATGGCCCAACCAAATTATGACAAGACGGCGTTGTGTAGTGATGAGACATTGAGAAAGACACTGGCAAGAAACTGACTCAGTGAACACATCCTGGCCCTGGAGACTGGTCAACAGAGCTGGCTGCCCAGGGAGGACAGGCTGTGTACACAGTGCACACTGAAAACAGTGGAGACAGAGACATATTTTTTGATAAACTGTGACAAAAATGTAGAAAATATTTCTTCCTGCAAAAATTATTTTCCCCTAAAATTCTACACTAATATCCCAAATTTGAAAGAATAATTGAATTTGTCAGATAATCAAATTTCAAAATGTGGCTGTCTTTTCAACACAGACAAGCCTAGCACATAGTATATCTAAGTTCAGGAGAAGAGAAAGCTGACTTTGAAGTTGCTTCTCTCTGATGCTGATCTGTTATTGGAGCACAGAGCAAAAAGGGCTTAGGAAGGGTAAATTGTAAAGTGATGTTGTCCTATGTTGTGTGCTCTGGTGTTTGTATCCAGATGGAGATGAATGTTTGGAAAGCCCATCTTTGTGTTTTGGTGGCCGCTGCAAGAACACTGTGGGCAGTTTCCTGTGTGTGTGTCCGCTGGGATTCCTTGTCGATGAAGAGGGAACCAGTTGTGTTGGTAAGTACTCACAACTGACATAAAACATAAAAGACTGAGTAACCTTTGCACATTTCGATTAAGTACAGGGAACCATGGAGAAGCAATCTAGTACCGTATCCAGACAACAATTGAAGTCTCCACCTAAGACTAAATGGGAAGATGACAGGTCAGCAAGCATAGAGAAGAATCGCTTGAAAAAGTCATCACAATGCCAGTTAGGGACATAAATGTTTTCTAATACTAAATTGACATTGGGAATTTGACCTATAATAATATTAAATCTACCATGGGGATCTGCAGTAGTTTTGCTATGAAGGAAAGGAACTGATTTATTTATAATAGTAATAGCTACCCCCCTTGATTTAGTAGAAAAAGGAGAGGACAAGATTTGACCTATCCAACCTCTCTTCAATTTAATTTGGTCTGGAGATTTAGGATGTGTTTCTTGTACATAAATGATTTGAGCTGCCAGGTGACATAGAAAATGCAAGATCTTACTACGTTTAATAGGGTTGTTCAAGCCTTTACAGTTGAGAAAATGTTATATCTGCCCCTATTGCTGCTACATTGGATGGGTTCATAAGGTCTAATTATGGGTGACATATGGCAATAGGAGAGAAAAGAGAAGGAGAAAAAGAACAAGAGAGAAAGGAAAAAAAAAAAACAGACAGACCAACATACACCATATACCTCAACAGAGTATAACACTGGAACACTGGAACAACCCACCCCCCTTCCCGCCCAGCAGAAGCAATTCCCCCCAAATGGGATGCGAGCCAGAATTCCTCTAAAAGAGAAAAATACGCTCACCCAAAGTGATAATTACTATCACTTCGGGTGAGCGTATTTTTTAACTCTTAACTAAAACTTGTCTTCGCTTTTTCTGCAATGTAATATTGCACTTATACCTAAAGGCACTGTAACAATGTGCAAACAATATTAAGGGTCTACCGTTACTACAAAAACTCCTTAATTAGTTCTAACAAATCAAACATAACAAAACAAACGTCTTCTCAGATAGTAAGAAAAAAGGTCTTAGACCTGTTCTCCTGTAGTGAAAGTCGAGTTTTTCTTTTTTATTCTGTCGAGTAGAGTCTGAAGTCATCAAATATGTGAGTCAAATCAAGTCATGTGACTTGAGTACACACCTCTGGTATCAACACACACATACATTTCATGTCAAAAAACAACAAAATACAGCAAGTATTGGGGCACTACGCACACACACACACCACAGCCTCTGGCACTGGTCAACAAAATTGCTCTGCACACTAACAAGTGTATACTAAGTCAGTGGTATTGTGGAGACCAATGACCACACTGTTACCAGCGTCTGCACCACCCTCCTCCCTGCTTCATTCCCCTTATTGGGATATATATATAAGGCATTCTGTCATTATGTGGTTTCCTGCCATTTCAACGCAGCCTTCCCCACCCACCAAAATGATACTGAATTAGGGCTTTGAGGGCAAAAAGGCCTGATGGTTATTTCCCCAGAGCTGCAATAAAATCTCTGCTCCTCAGCTGCAGAGGTTGAGACTTTATAGGGATGTGGATATGCAACCAAGGTATCTATTAATAAGATGATATGAAATGAAGGATTCTTTTAGACATATTTTGGAAACCTAAAAAAAGAGTCATTACATTGTGGTGTAAAGTCAACCAACCAGACTTTTTTTTACCATACATATTTGAATGCTGAACCTGTCTGCATTAGTGCTATTATTTTATAAAAAAATTTAAAAAAAACTTCCCTCTCACCCTCTTGGGGTGGTATCTGTGTGTCATCCTCAAGCTCGGGTCCTCTACCAGAGGCCTGGGAGTTTGAGGGTTCTTCGCAGTATCTTAGCTGTTCCAAGGACTGCGCTCTTCTGGACTGAGGTTTCTGATGTTGTTCCTGGGATCTGTTGGAGCCAGTCCCCCAGTTTACCACGGGGATCACGCTCGCCTTGACCTTCCACATCTGCTCCAGCTGTTCTTTCAACCCTTGGTACTTTTCAACCTTTTCGTGTTCTTTCTTTCTGATGTTGGCGTCTGTTGGTATGGCCACATCTATCACCACCGCTTTCTTCTGCTCCTTGTCTACCACCACTATGTCCAGTTGGTTGGCCAGGACCTGTTTGTCAGTCTGGAATCTGAAGTCCCATAGCACCTTGGCCCTGTTGTTCTCAGTCACCTTCTGTGGTGTGGCCCATTGGGATTTGGGTACTTCTATTCCATACTGGGTACAGATGTTCCTGTACACTATTCCAGCCACTTGGTTGTGTCTCTCCATGTACGCTGAACTGGCTAGCATCTTACACCCTGCTATTATGTGCTGGACTGTCTCAGGGGCATCTTTGCATAGTCTGCACCTTGGGTCAGATCTACTGTTGTAGATCTTGGCCTCTATGGCTCTTGTACCTTGGGCCTGTTCTTGTGCTGCCATGATAAGTCCCTCTGTGCTGTCTCTGAGTCCAGCCTTTTCCAGCCATTGGTAGGTCTTCTCGATATCAGCCACTTCTTCAATTTGGCGGTGGTACATGCCATGTAGGGGCTTGTCCCTCCAGGTTGTCTGCTCCTCTTCCTCCGCACTCTTATTGGGTTTTTGTTGTTTTGTAGACATTCACTTAGCAGTTCATCCTTTGTGGCTATTTTTGTGATGTACTCTTGGATTTTTGACGTTTCATCCTGGATAGTGGCCTTGATGCTCACTAGTCCTCGGCCTCCCTCTTTCCGCTTAGCGTACAGTCTCAGGGTGCTGGATTTGGGGTGAAACCCACCGTGCATGGTGAGGAGCTTTCTTGTCTTGATATCTGTGGCTACTATCTCCTCCTTTGGCCAGCTTATGATCCCAGCAGGGTATCTGATGACTGGTAGTGCGTACATGTTGATGGCTTGGATCTTGTTCCTGCCATTCAGCTGACTTTTCAGGACCTGCCTTACTCTCTGGAGGTATTTGGTTGTGGTTGACTTCCTTGAGTCTTCCTCATGGTTTCCATTAGCCTGTGGGATACCAAGGTACTTGTAGCTGTCTTGGATATCACCTATGTTGCCTTCTGGTAGGTCAACCCCTTCAGTTCTGATCATCTTGCCTCTCTTTGAGACCATCCGGCCGCACTTGTCCAATCCGAATGACATCCCTATGTCGTTGCTGTAGATCCTGGTGGTGTGGATCAGCGAGTCGATTTCTCGCTCATTCCTGCGTACAGCTTGATGTCATCCATGTAGAGCAGGTGGCTAATTGTTGCTCCACTTTGGAATTGGTACCCGTACCCACTCTTTGCGATGATCTGACTGAGGGGGTTCAGGGGTGCTCTTACAGTCTCGGGCGACTTCTCTATCGACCAGTAGCTGGTGCTTGGCTCCTCTGGTGTTGCTACCAATTCCCTTCTGAGCCCTGCTTATGTATTGAGCTACGTGCTTACTCATCTTAGCCGCGATGATGCCTGACAGGGCCTTCCATGTTGTGGAGAGACAGGTTATTGGCCGGTAGTTGGATGGGATGGGTCCCTTCTTAGGGTCCTTCAGGATTAGGACCGTCCTGCCCTGGGTTAGCCACTCTGGGTGGGACCCATCCCTTAGCAGCTGGTTCATCTGTGCTGCTATGCGTTCATGGAGTGCTGTTAGCTTCTTCAGCCAGTAGGCATGGATCATATCGGGGCCTGGTGCTGTCCAGCTCTTCATCTTTGACACTCTTTCTTGGATGTCTGCCATTGAGATGGTTACTGGTTCTTGTTCTGGGAGGTTGCTGTGGTCTGCTCTTTGGTCCATTAGCCACTGGGCATCTGGGTTGTGTGATGCCTCTTTTTCCCATATGGCCTTCCAGTATTCTTTCTTTGTATTCTCTCTTGGTGGGTCTGGCCTGTTGTTATTTCCTCCCTGCCACTGAGAGTACACCTTGGCTGGTTTAGTGGAGAACAACTTGTTTATTCTCCTGGCCTCTGCCTCCTTGGTGCATCTCTTCAACTGGGTGGCCAGTGCTGTTAGTCTCTGTTTGGCAGTTTCGAGTGCTTCAGGTATGGAGAGCTTGGTGTATTTCCTGGGTGCCCCTTTATTCACCATGTTGCCTTTCTGTAGCTCTGCTAGCTGGCTAACTTCTCTCCGTGTTGCCCTTATCTTGGCCCCTAGTCGTATTCTCCATGGTGGATGCTGCCTGTTATGGTTTGAGCCCATCTTGTATCCAAGCATTTCTAGGATTACTGTTGCTGTACTGTTAATCAGCTTATTGGTCTCAGTGATGGTTCCCGTAGGGATTGTTGTTAGGGCAGTATTCACATCCACTAGCAGATCTTCTGAAGGTACTTTACAAGTCAGCTTCGGTATTCGTCGGGGGTTCCAGGTTTCTAATTGGGCCATGATCTTCATTCTCAGGTCAGCAGCTCTTGTACTGAGGCATATATATATATATATATATATATATATATATATAATTCTTAAAGGGTGAAAACCATTCAGTCAAAGCTCAATGCATCAGACAGCTGGAAATAAAATGATTTACCACAGTCACACATCCACAGGAAGCTTAGACATACAGCTACCTATCAGTCTTATCTCAGCATGAAGTTGTTATATATCTTTGTTAAACCCGCAATAATATGATTTTGCGAAATGGAAATAATAGAAATAATAATTGTGGCACAGCATTGACATATACCTTTAAACTTGATATTGCACCCTTGTGAGAAGCAAGAGTTGCTTGTTTATACATGGAATAACACAACATAATATAGTTTGCTTCATGTTTACAGAACCTTATCCCTGAATGCATTTTCCCACTACATAATGTACAGCGGGTTTTTTTTTTTACAACCTTTTCACTGCAGACAGCTGCCTGCTGCAGCCAAAAACTATGCAGTGGGAGTGAACCAAGCAATAGTTGCGGAATTTGACTCCGATTTTACCTTGCTCTCAGTGTAGAAACACAGACTAACAGCATAAATAAACAGAACAACAAGTTCAACAAAATAGGCATAGACTTATATGTTCAGTTATGCGTATATATCTATATCACATTTCTCACCAGGACATGACTGCCC